AGAGGTGGCTCAAGAACGTAGGAATAAGCGTGGTTGTTGTTTCTTATTTGACAATGGACAACGTTCACTGTGCTGTTGGTGGGTTCGAAACTCGACAAGTTTTTGGTCGCGGAGTGCCTGAGAGGCGTTGGGTGTCTTGTCGCTGTGCCGCGCATCTTGACGTTTGACGGGAAGCGGTGGTAGTGGCAGCTAACGCCGCTGGGCCCGTTGCATGTAATCTGGTCCTCGTGGCTTGCGTTGCGACGGCCTTCGGCACAGGTGGGGGTCAATGCCACTTGCTCTGGGCTTGCATTCTCTTATGGTTGATTGCGTGCAGTGCGTTGGTTGCTTTTGAAGACGAGGCAGATGCGAAACATTCTAGTGAAACTACTTCTTGAGCTGCCTGACAATCTTATCGACTAAATAAGTCGTAAACCTGATTTCTCGGTTGGTGCATAGTTATGCTGATGCGTTAATTGTTTGCTTGACTCGGTTCTGGTAACGGGCTGCTAAGAGGCCCTGACATTGTCCCATTCCGGGCAGCTTGGTCCCCAGACCATGCCAGTAGCCCCGAGTCGTCGTAAGTTGACAGTGCATACCCTACCTTGGTATTATGTCTTTACTCGTCTTCAGGGAAGTTTCGAGGCACCACAACGTTATGAGCATTAGAAACGCGGGCTCACACTGGCATTGTGACGAAATGCACGCGGAAGCACGTAATTCATTAGCTCACTAAAAGAAGGGATTAATCGAGTGGAAATGTTAAGTGTTGGTAGTATGGTTAACTGCATTTAGCAATGCCGGCATTTAAGTCTCCGCAGATTGTAACTCGTCCCGGCAGACTGGCCTCTGGGTCATGACAGCAGTCGCATAGCCCCTTTTTAGACTAGCAATATGTTTTCCAGCATTCTTCTATGACTTGCCACTGCTTTTGGAGTCGAGACGCTACATAGATAATGGGAATTTTAGGGCATTTGTGGAGGTGAGATTTATTCCACTGTCGGTAAATGCAGCGATAATTCAATGTTGCACCAAAAGGAATTCGATAAAATGATCAAAGCCTGAGCCTTATTGGGCAAACATTGACGTGTTTAATACAAGTAGTGAGGGATGAGTTAAGGTAGTAAATGGCGGATGTCGTGGAATAATCAAACATATTCAAGCTCATAAAAATAAATTTGACATTCAAAATGCTTTAATTTCAAAATAAGACCCTTTTAGCCCAGAAAATTAGTCTTTGTTTGGCAAATTGTGCCTGAGTATTTTATTTGCAAAAACGTCAAATTCTTACCAAGGATTTGGAGTCTACCACCACAATTCCATTTAACCCCAAATTTGTGCACAATGCACAAAAAAGCAACAAATTTTGTCTCCATCTAGGCAGTTGTTAACTATTGTTGAATAGATTATGACAATTATATATGTGCATTTAAATCCTCACCCACCGTCGCGAGTCATTTGTCGCTCGGGTGCCATCTTGCCTCGTGGATGGGGGTGAGTTTGGGTGTTGCTAGTCGGGTAGCGCTCCTAGGTCCAGTTCACATCTTAGGAAAATGCAAATTAGCCAATGGAATTAAGAAACGCACCTTTTTTCGCTGCTTGCACGAGTCCAAATATGTCACTGCATTTGAAAGCATCCTGTGGAATTAGAAGCTAGTTGGTGAAAGTAGCTTCTCTTACCTTTGTGCAAAGTGGTTCTCCCACTGGTATATTTCGTTGTAATTTGAAAAGAAACGACATGCCTTGCCGTTATTTCCATCCACCAAGGTGTTTTAAATTGCTATCGGACCCTTGTTCGCCGTTCAGTACGCCTTGACCTGTAGCACTTATAACGTGGTCGCCTGCTAGTTTTGGGGCTTTATAACAGTCATTTTCACTTTATTTTTTGAATTTACCATTCTTTAGACACGTTTTATGGCACCTATCTGTGTATGTATTTCCTGTCTTTGGTGTAAATGATCGCCAACATTTCTGTTTACTACCAGTAGTTTTGGTTTTCTGTAAAACACTCCGGAGTTTGGTTTTATCCACCATTTCCGTACTCTATATTGTTCGTGACGTCTCTTTTAGGACGCAAACGGGTCGTCAGCCAAGCTTGCTTCTAACGGACCTCACATAAATTTGGAATCGTCCAAGGAGTCTGTAGACATCGTTGTTGTTAACGACGAGGAGGAGGAGTGCGACAGTGAATGTGAAATAGTCAGTGTCAGTTCAGACATAGACGAACAGGAAATGAAGTGGCGAAATGTCACCAGAATGAACACACTCATATCCGCAGGCTACAATAATCCACGCCTTTTGTTAACTCGCATTTTCGGAATCAATCCGAATATCCTTCCCTCCGATAATGGTAGCATGTGGAGCATTCTCTTTTCACTACTGTCGGAAACGAACAATCGAAAAAGACTGAAGCAGTACTCTACGATAGAATCGGTCGTCCAACTCCTCAGAGAGAGTTCTCACATTCTCGTTCTCACCGGTGCTGGCATCTCAGTGTCCTGTGGGATACCTGATTTCAGATCGCGAGATGGTGTTTACGCCCGTCTGGCACGTGATTTCCCAGATCTGCACAGTCCTCAAGATATGTTTGACCTGCAATATTTCTTGCGCAATCCAAACCCTTTTTTCAATTTCGCAAAGGTATCTTCTTTAGTTTTTTGTTGATATTTTTGTGCTTAAACATACACTCTGTTTTAGATCATTTGATTCCTATATTCATGATTACTTTTTACTCTTCTAGTCATCAATCGAAGCTTTCTCTGTTCTAGGAACTTTTTCCTGGTCAGTTCAAGCCCTCCTACGCACATCGCTTTATCCGGCTGCTAGAAAGAAAGTCTAAGCTTTTGCGAAATTACACACAAAACATCGATACATTGGAGCAGGTTGCTGGAATTAAGAAAGTTATACAGTGTCATGGTAAGACAACTTTTCCTGCTTGCCCTTTTTGATTCGTTTAATGTAGTTCTAAGTTACATTCGGTTCCTAAGGCTCGTTTGCCACTGCGAGTTGTGTGAGCTGCGGTTACAAGGTCCGTGGCGAAGAGATTCGTGAGGCAATAATGGCTCAACGCATTCCCCACTGCCCACACTGCCGTCCCGACCTTGGTCTTAAGGGTGCGCCCCCTGTGACCGGTGTTGGCGCCTCCACTGTCACCGCCACCACTCCCGACACATCGCCCTCGTCTTCGTCATCCGTCCATGGCGTGATGAAGCCAGACATTGTATTCTTCGGTGAGGGCCTGCCTGCAGAGTTTCACGAATCTCTGCATCAGGACTTGCGTGAAGTCGATCTCGTTTTGGTTATGGGATCCTCCCTCAAAGTCAGACCGGTATCGCATATACCAGGTGCGTTTCCTACTCATACTTGTTACTTAAGGCGAATTTGTTTCATTTTAAGCATTAATCGTCTTTCCACACTTCAGACCTGGCTGTCCCACTCTTAAGATTTCTTTTGTGCCTCTGTACATTCAGACCGAAAAAAAATGTTTAACAGATGTAATGGTATCCCAAGTTGAAGGTGGGACTACTTAATGAGTTGGCAGTAGAGATGAGTAACCTAATCCAAGGATGTCACTGAACCTACCAAATTCCTTTCCACGGATTGTCTACTATGATGTGGTACTGAGTTTAGCTAACTTACTTATCACCGTCCTCAGACCCTAACTCCCCATCCGCTCCTTATAGCCAATAATTTGGGTAAAATTAGGATGTTTAACTCCCGAAATTGCCTCGCCACAGCTTCTTCCATCCTGCCTCATTATCACTAATGCTTTTATTGTGCGCTCCCTTGTATTTTCATGACATTATAATTATTATTCTTCCTCTGTCGGTGCAAGTGAGCTTAATAAAAGGATTTGCTATTCCGAATCGAGGGTGAATCAAATTTATGGTTCTGTCATGAAACGTAATATCTGCTCGTAGTTGCTTGAGTAGGTCACCTTGTTATCTTTAATGGCCAACTCATAGTTTTCCACTTAAAAAACCAGGAAGATTCATTTTGATCTTCCATTTACTGTCTTTCACACAGAGCGGTTATAACTTCTGTTTTTAATAGAATCCTCAATTTAGGATTGCGCATTCAGTGTGTTTATTTTTGATTTTGTTTTCAAGGCTGTATTAAAAGGGTCATCATATTCGGATGGTTATCAAAAAACCTTTTCTAGCTTTTCTGTTGTACGTCTTCACAGTTAAGTTATTCGCTGTATATTTTCATTCTTTATATGAGTTTTGAATTTTGGGGAATTGAAAGGACTTGTGCAGAAATCTAACTATGCTTTTTAACGGTATGAATCTTTTCACCTTTATTATTGTGACATCTGATCGCGTCCATAATTGTCCCAATGAATTAAGTTTCTGTAGTTGCGGGTGAGCGTTGGCAACTTCTGATCTTCAACTTACGCGACTGATGCGGAGCAAGCATAAATTCTCATTCATTTTTTTATATGATCTAACATTCATTGTTTCTCTCTTCTGCGTATTATAGACTCTGTTCCTAGTAAGGTGCCCCAAATTCTGATCAATCGTGAGTCTCTATCGAACCACAACTTCGATACTGAACTTCTTGGCGACTGCGATGTGATCCTCGAGCACCTTTGCCGACAGCTAGAGTGGAGTGTTGATGAGGACTCCAATGGTGCACCCGTGGGTCGCGATTGTTTTTAATAACCGATCTGTAACACCGGACCTGGGTGCTTGGTGTTAATCTTTGAAGGTCGATCACTAATCGCTTAAGGTTTTGTGGCGCTGAAAAAATCCAAATAGCTATTACGCTTAGTTGGTCGCATCCACTTAAGCTTGCTGCGAGCTATTTAAACCCATTTTACTTCCCTAATGATTGTGGTTTGCTCTCGAATTATAGGTTAGCTGTTTCACTATCGACTGTCCGCGGCGTATACCTGCCACCTTTTTAATTCACTCGTTTATCCCCCACAGCAGGGTTTCACTCTCATTTCCTCATCTAAGGCAGGGAATCATGTCTACTCTATTGCTCGTTATCAGCTTTTAAAAGACTCTTAGTAGACATTCGTATGTTTGTATTTTAGTCGGTGGTCCAAGCTACCGCTTCCCTTACCAAAGTGAATGTAAGCATTCCTCTCTCCGCCGCTGTGGCTGCGCTGTCTTCCGAAGTCAACGTTTCAACGACCCATCTGAAGGGTAGTGGTGATGAGAAATTGACCAAGTCAAGGCGTCCAGGATTTTCACCTAATTCCGTGACAGGTATCTCTGTAGCCGTTGAGTCTGGTGCAGATAAGTCCACAGCACAAGAAGCCAAAGGGTCTCCGTCTACAAGAGAATCACGGTCTTCGGAAATGGAGTCGAAAAATGTCACATTAGACGGGGCCAACAATTTCCCGGTCGATGTCGCAGGTGACAACAAACCAACTTTGGACGGAACCTCAGAGCGCCCCATTGATGTAGACGACTTCGATTCTTATAGCGATTTAGATTCGGAATCAAGTTCTTCGTCCTCCGAGGATGGCAAAGTTGCCTTCAATTTATCAGAATATTTGCCTGGTAGGTTGGTTTGCCATAAAGGTCTCAGTTTTATCACACCCACAAAGTACATATAGGTTTTTATTATGTTGCAGGGAACAGTTTTACCACTCTTCCACCAAACATGTACATTTTCAAGGGTGCGGAGTTTTCATTGTCTCTCGAAGCAGCTTCTAAATGTTTGCAAGAGCAGTTACAACAGAGCAGCAGAAATCCTCCTGTGGCTGCGGCGGAATCCATATCATCACAATCTTCCAGTGAAGACGATAGATTTATGCAGCAATTGTTACGCCGTTGCGAGCTTGACTCTGAGCTACAACGGCACCGTGCAGACGTGGTGAATGGAGTGGCGACGGAGACAGAGACGAAGGAGGTGGAGGTAATTGATTGCGACTCCCCTCCAAATGAGTGGATCTCGGAGAAGAACAAATCATCAACGTCATCCCTTGGGGTAGAAAATGCGAATTGCAATGGAAGAGAAAAAAAAAAGACGCCTCCGTTCACGAACAGTAATCCACCTGATTCCAAACGGAGGCGTTGCAGTGACGAGGAAGATGATGATGGTGTTATAGAAACACCTTCGGCAGATAAACCCGTTGATGCCTAATGTCCATTAGTAGGCCTAGTGTCATGGTATCCCCTACTCTCTCCCTTGACTGGGTCCCAGAACCTCGTGACATGCACTGTACTTAATTTTCTGCAAATGGACTGAACCTTTTTAGTGTTTGGCGTTTTTTAATGGGGTCGGTTTTATTGCTCGCGTTGGGTGTGATCATGTTTGGGGGTCATTTGGGATGGGATGATTCCTGACAGATAGCGGGTTCTGCTATCTGCCTACTTCTAACCTGCGCCACATTTGTGAGGCGTATCGGTACAGATCACCTGAATACACTCCGAGTCGCCTCCAAGGAGGTTGTACAACAAGTCATCCTGGCAACAATCAGTTTTTTGTTCGTGCTTTTGCTTTGTATGTGTTCGCTTTATCGAGAGGGTGCTCTAATTTTAACGTGCGAAGTATTCGCACATTCTTGCTTACGAGGGAAGAGAGTTCACGTAAGGCTGTAATCATTTGCATAAAAAAAACCAAATTAGGTTTCCGGTTTTTTTAGCGCAAATGCTATAATATAAGAGATTAATTTGATTAACTATATTTTTGCCTAATTTCAAAACAAACCTATGCGACAAAATGCAATGGTAAAATCTAGGACTTTATTTTACCTAATCGATCCTTGTTATTTTAGCGCATAAGCAACTGCACAAAGATTACGGCAGTGAGATGCGTCTGCTACCTTTTTGGGGAATTTGTTTGAAGTAGTTGTCATAACCTTAGCGAATTCAAATCCTTAGGCTGGACCATCTGCTCCGAAATTGGTAGCTTGTTGGAATGATTTGCAAAGTTTCTAGGAGCAGCTTTCCATGGACAGCTTGGTTTTTCCGTTCTTTTTCCACAATGAATACATCGGAAGGTTAGTTAAAGCATGTTGTTTGTGCATTGTAGTACAGGGAAACAGCTCAAGTGCCTGTCTGAAGCAGTCAAGAGTGGGGATTACGTAGCAGTGGAGAAGATTATCATTGAGCAGGTTTGATTTGTTTACTGATGCCATTTATTGCGCAGGATCCCTATGAAGTTCGTCGTGTCAAAATGCCAACAATTACTTCGGCAGATGAGCCGAATATCATAGCTTCTACGTCAGATACTCGACTCATTGGCTGCCTCTGTAAGATGAGTACTTAATGTATATCAGTACTTTAATGTTATAAATGGGAAGGGTGCTGCGTACAAGATGCAGTTTGAATTCGGATGGATTTTTCCTCCTGGATTATTGATCTGAACGTTCATTCGCACATTTCATTTTAGTCATCTGGTGATTGCAGGTATTAATCTAATTATTTCAGGTGAACCTCAGGCAGATGCCATTAACTGGATGGAGATCTCTAAGGGGGAGCCCCGTCAATGCTATTGCGGACATTGGTTCCGACTGGTTGATTTTGAAGAGTATCTCTCACTATCAGATAACTTCAAACAACTAACATAGCTTCCGTTACATGTCTACGCAGTTCAGGACGTTCACTGGGCATTGCAACTATTTTTCGTGTGAATCTTCCTGACTGCACATTCCTTCCAGGCTTCTGGCATATTCTATGGCCCGAGGCCGGTTTAAACTTGCCACCCATTGAATACTCATCCCGAGATACCTTGAAGACACTGTTCGTAATTAAATTGTCTTTTGATATACCGATGGGAACGTTCCAATCCGTATGCAAAAGATAACTCAAGTTTAACCACTGACACTGATGTCATCAAAAGTTCTGTCGTATGTTAGAGGTAATTTTTGCGGGGAAATACGTCGGTTCAAGCTTTTTCATAATCTAAATTTGCGAGGGTTTGGGCGGGTTTACTCATCAGAAGGTGTGATTGGGTTCTTGGCGTGCATGGTGCTTCGTCGTAAGCCATTTCTCTGGGTACCGATATGTCTGGTGAATAATGCAGAGCCCACTAGCGGGGATTCCGGGTTTTTGTTTTGGTGAGGTAAGTTGGGCGTTGTATACCGCGGTTTTGATAGTAGGTTTCAGTACGTTACCATAACTACTGATCTCTTCAATCCTGCGCAGGTGGGCCGATCTTCGGGACAAGGCAGCACCACCACGCATGCAGTTTGGGCTTGCGCTTGACCCCCACAAACAGTTGAGACACCGGTCTACAGATGGCCTGGAAGTAGGTGCACAAAGTACGGCCTCAGCACGTACACTAGTCACCTCTGCGTTAGTAGTCCATATCTGTTTACAAGTTGACTTTGCCGCGATGTAGGAGTGACTTTGAATAAGTGGTATCCGCCCTAGCTTTTCGCTTTTTGTACATAGCAGAGCTGTGGCGATTACAACTGTCATTCACATTGTCAAATTACAAATTCTCAAGATTAGTTTTGCGGCAAATCGAAATGCCCCAGTTGTTGTAGTTATTTGTGTTTTGGCACTTTGAGTGGCTCTGTGGTGATACCTTAGGGACAGGAAAAAGTTGAGGTGTGTCTAGGCGTATGTCCAGAGTATTCAGCAGAATGTCTCAACTTTATGTATGAAAACACAATTTTCCACACTTTGCTAGGGAAGTATGTATGACAATCATCATGTGGTATCTTACAGTTTTAAAAATGGCTCATGCACAACGAACCACGCAACCATCATCACACTGTTATGAACCGTATGAAAGAGTTTCTAAGATGGTATTATGGGTGAGAAGCCTAAGAATATGTGCAATCTACTGCTTAAAATATTATAATGAGGCAGCACCAAGAGCTGCATGGTCAACGCAGTGAAGATTTTGCTTACCTTAACTGGGGTCCTGCAGGATGTGCTTCCACTCTGCGGCATGGCCCCCGAACCATGACAGTAGTCCTTAGCTCTAGTGCCATAGATTCCTTCTTTTTCAAGGAAGCCTTAGAGTGCTACTTTGGTGGTTGCAGTAAGCGAACTCAATCTTCAAGGGCAACTACTTTTATTTCTGTTACAGAATGTTAAACTCGAACATGATGGAAGAATGGCAGATCCTGCAGGTGGGCGAACCCGTGATGACCTCTAACGGAAGGACCGAAAACAGCCTCTAACCTTAACAACTGTCACTGTCCATTGTTCTATGAAAATAATGTAAGCAACTAAGGAGAAACAAACAGTGAAACATCTTAAGAAGTTCTTTAGAGAGCTGTCCATGGTACCTATTACAAAGACGTCAACGAATGAAACACATGACACCCCACAGCCACATTACTAGCTTAAAAGAACCCAGATAGCTATAGCTGAGCAGCATTGACTTGACTGCCTGTAAGACCCAAGCCCAGACCACTAGCAATGGACATACATGATGACATGCACACTTCTCCTTCGACCACTGCATTACGCAGACAGGGCAAAACCCAATATGCAGCAGAAGTGACAAGAGGAATCAGTGCCAATGCTATCACTTACATTCTCATAAACACAAATGAGAGTACGTGGCGGGGTTAGTTCGTGCTATTTTTCTTACAACACTGACTACGTTGTGATGGGTGGGTAAAGCAGGAGTTTGGCCAAATGAAACGCCGATAAAGCCACTCCAAAGGAGAGGAAAGCTATTTAAATGTTTTGATAGACTACTAAGCTGGGCGTTTAGTTACGCATGCTCTTAAAACAATGGTCTTGGTATGCCTGCCTGGCCATGGCATTAGTGTAATACGATAGTGGTTTATCCCTCGGTTCTGGTGAGGCGACTTTTGGACTTTGAATTAGCCCTCTTGTGCCTTGCAGGGTGGGCTGGCCTTTTAGGCCATGCCAATAGCCCAGACACCTTTTCCGTGCTGAATATATATATTCTGCCCAAGTATTGTGTCTTCTTTCGTCTTCAGGGAGTCTCGGGACGCTACATTAGCCTCACAGCCCTCCTCTAGGACTGAAACGCATTTTCTGCCATGACACCAACATTTCTCACGATTTTTGAGGAAATCCGGTGCTTTTCAGTGTACGACATAGGTTTGAACCATAGATATACCTAGTAAGGCATTGCAGCTAGGTGTGATAATGAAATTCTATTTGACTTAATCCCATTAGGTACACTTACTTGGTATTTGTGAAAGTGTTCAAATCCTAGGAGTATATCTGCCGTAATTTGCCAAATTATAATCGTTGGCTCTTAAGGTCTCCCGAATTACACTTTCTAAATATTCTTATAAAAATAAGGTCTAGATCACCTGATTGGTGTGGCTACTCTTTACACTTTACCCATCGTGCTTTGATTCAACCAATCGAACTTTTGCAGTGTTGTGTCAAATGACGCAGTCGTAACGCGATGTGTAGCGGGAATGTACCCACTCTTGAAAACGTTTTGCAAGCAATTGATGCTCTCTACGTAAATCCGGAAAATTCTATTAAAGAAAGTGCTTCTAAATGGCTGTGCGAATTTCAGAAATCGGTAGTGAATTCTTGCGTTTTATTATTTTATAGGTTTATGCATGGGAGATAGCTGACCAATTACTCTACTTAAAGCGCGACTTAAGTTCTAGTTATTTTGGAGCACAAACTATACGTATTAAGGTACACCATCTTGGGTGCATGCACTTCCTAGATCCAAGTTTACTTTACAGAGCTCCCAACTGCTGCTCATACTGTATGTTGTTCCATTCCCTGCCTTTATACTTGTAGGCATTGAAGGATTCTTTGCTAAATCATGTTCAGAAACTCACTAATGAGACTCATAGTTCGATAGCAAATCAGCTTTGTCTTGCTGTTGCTGACCTGTTTTGTCAGATGGTGCAGTGGAACGACGCTATCTCTGACATCGTAAAAACGTAGGCATTTGCTTTCGTCAACACTCTTTAGATTGTCAACATCGGAAGTTACTTCCACATATCTTATTGATGTTCTAAAATTTGTCTCCGAAGAGGTAGATGATGTTGTTACATTGGCACCGTGTTAGATGAATTCAAAAACACTCCGACTCGGGTTAAATCGAAGATATGTTCTCATGGCACATCTAGAGTCTCAAAAAGGTCTGGTACTTGATTTTCTCGTAAGTTCATTCTTGTAATAAATCCTCAAGTTTTTCTTTGCATTCAGTATGAGTTTTCTTTGCATGTGTTCAGTCGTACAAAATGAAAAATGCGACCCCACAGACGCTTGCACGGATATTTAACTGCCTTGCCAGTTGGTGGGACAACACTGGGATTATGAAGGATACAGATGTTCGTGTATCACCACTTCTTGAAGGAGCATTTTACGTGCTTCAGCACCCTGAAAATTATCCCGAAGCAGCTTACAATGCGTCCATGGAGTGGATTTTGGCTTTACTCTACTGTTGCCCCGTATGTCACCCATTTATAACCGTTAACATAGATCCGCGTAGCTAAAATTTTGTGTTGTTAGAAAATTATCTGTAGGATAGGCGTTTGTGTCACTTATATATAGGACTGTATGATTTTGTATTTGTTTATTTATCTACAGACTGTGTCGGGCTACCAAGGTGAACTGTTAAAACTGTTGCAAACCAACATATACGGTCTTTATAACGTCCTACAACGGTGTTCCCTCCAAGCCTCAAAAGTGGCTGGGAACAACATGACCGATTGTCTAGTTTATGTGGACCGAGTATCCTGCATTGCTCAGATTTTTGGCTCACTTGCGCGTACTGTACGCTCTGCATTAGTGCGAAGCCCCACCCCACCCGGCTCTAGCGAACCGGGAGATTTACGCACTTTGGAGTGTCTCCTCGCTGTGCTAGAATCGCCACCTCCCGCTGGTTGTCGGGCCAATGCTTTGCACACTTTTTACGCTCTCCAATCCCTGGCAGATGATGCTGCACGGGTAAGTCATCACGTGCTGCCCCTGTTGAAGCTATTTTCAAGTCTCCAAAAAAGTGTTATTTGCGTGATAGCATCACAATTGTCTTGGTCCATCACCGGGTCGTCAGAACTCTTCGGCATCTGCAGCAGGTGACATAATCTCCAACGCCTCTCGCCCGGTCACAGCCCTTCTCATACCCTACTTCACTCGTGTTGTCGTCGCCCTAGCACGTTACTGCCCCAGCAATACAGAAGACCTTGAGGCAGCTGAGGATCTTCGTTCATTTCGAGAAGATGCTCACGGTCTGATGCAGGATATTGTTGATCTAGTTGGCGCTGATACCATCTTCACCGAAGTAGGTGTCCTTATTGGTGATTTCACACCACCACTTCCATACGTAGTTGGGTGTACCAGGATGTACGCACGAATCTCTTTGTTTATCTGCTGAGTTACCATTGTTTTAGTCCTTCCGTTAACAAGCCCGCGACTCCATTGCTGAATATCAAAAATTGGTGTTGAAATATAGCTTTTTTTCTAAGCAAATCTGTGCTAAATGAATAACTATCAACCTGCTAAACTAATAAGCATATCTTATGTATTATCGAAGCATTCGGGTTCAAATTAATGTAATACCCACTTGTTGGTATGTCTCAGTTGTATAACCATATCAAAAGCCTGCAAGAGATGAACACAGTGGGGACAGCAATCAACGTGTTCCGCGAGGCTGAGGCCTGTCTATTCATGCTGACAACTGTGGCGAAGCGCCTTTCGCCTCACGATCCCGAGGGTCGCATTGCCTCACTCATCTCCACCCTCGTGCTGCCAGGTCTTGATGCCACGCCACCAGCACCCTTACAAGAGGTCGGCTGCATCCTCTACGCCGAACTTTCCCACTGGGTCGCCTGCCGCCCTGAAATTCGTCGGCGGATTGTCGAACAGCTCATTCAAATCGTTGAAAGATCTGCTGGTGTGCCTGCTGCTCAGTTGCAGGTAAGGCGAGAAACTTTTTAAGAACTTCAAACAAAAAGTAGTTTCCTAACCACCGTGAAGTTGATTGCAAGAGCGAGTACGCTAATATCGCTTAGTTCATCTTTTTCTTTCACTTTCACTCATTGTATGCACTGACAACAGCTGGATTTTGACTATAAATCAAATTACTTACTCAAAATGATGATATGCAGTATTTTGGCATTGAATATCCTTACGATCGCTTCGTTGTTTCCCTCCAGCCCGGTCAAAAACAAGCTGTAGGTGCGGCACTTTCAGCTCTGGGCCGACTTTGCACTGTTTATCGAGTCCATGCAGTTGTTACGTCCAACGCAACATCTAATGGTGGAGGAATGGCAGCCGCAACACTGCTAGAAGAGCACTGGAAGGACATAGTCGCTCGAGTGGTCTATTTGCTTCCTCGATTGGCGTGGGCACCGGTACAAGAGGTTATCGACTTCTTCGAGGGTATCTGTCGTGGCCTTATGTGCTCCGTCGCCTACTCCCCTCAGGACACCTTCCCCACCGATCCTCGACCCTCTCGTGCTATCTTACCTGAACGTCTGGCACAATTAGTCTCTGTCAGCGTCCAATGCCTTTCTAAGGTGTGCTGCGTCTGTCTATTCTTCCCCCTTTCGTCATTCCTTCTGAGTTGAGCTGTTTCTCAACACCGCCGTTTTAGTTGATGGAGCAGAACCAGCCAGTAGAGTCTATCGATGCGTTGTCGGATCCATGTGTGTGGTTGGACTATCTGGCGACCATTTTCCGTTCGCTCCAAAACTTCCTTCCGCGCCTCGATGACGCCTATCGACGTAGTCGTCTCAACAGCACTTCCACCGACGAGGTGCAGCAACAACGTCAAGCCGAAGTGAACAGTCTATCGGATTCAGCTCAGGCCTGCTTGGACGGCTGTCTCAGAGTCGTCACGACCATGGTGTGGCCAGTCATTGGTCAGGTTCTTGAGCACTACAGCACTAAGGTGCGTCCCATGGAGCGATGCTGTCGTGTCATCCGCTTTATGGCTCGCTCCTTCTCCGTCAACCTCCGTGACATCCTCCCAGATATTGCCAACAAGGTGCGCTCTTAACACACAGCCTTCGTCTTAGGCATTTGTGAATCTTAACCCTTTTACAAAATACTAATGACGCTCAGTGTTGTTTCTTCAGCTGGTGCAGTCTTTTCAACGAGGGAATCATTCGTGTTTTCTCTATCTCGCCGGCGTTTTGGTTGACGTTTTCGGCGAGCTTCCCGACTGCCGACCGGGTCTCGTCGGTCTCTTTGAGGTAACCTTGCGCTTTTTCATTTTATTTAAACTAGCTACTCGATTTTACACTAGTGAAAAATTGTTTAGTTGAGCGATTAATCTAGTTTATTTACCCTCTTCACCACATCCAAAATGTAAATTGATGCTATTAACTAGCTGATTTGACCTCTTCTAAAGTACTCACACATCCATAAAATCATGGGTTTTTGTACTGATTGAAAGGCTCTAGCTCCGCCCACACTTGCGTCCCTCTCCTGCAACCTGGTCGAACAGCCTCACACAATTGAAGACCTCTACCGCCTGTGTGTGCGTCTGGTGCAGCGTTGTGCGGCCACGTTTCTCGCCAGTCCAAACGTGGACCTCTACGCCCTGCTGGACACAGCCCTGCAATCCCTCGACGTCCTCACCCTCACTGCTGCCGGCTCCGGCCACACGGATGTGGACAACGGTCAGGCAGTTGGCAACGGCGACTTGAAAGACACGTCCTCTGCCAGCACTGCAGCTGCACGGTTCCTTCTGGAGGCTCTTATCTTCACCACTGAAGCCTCCGAGGACGCCCCGGCAACGGTTGCCGCTACCACCGACGCCTCCGCACTACCTCGTCCTACTTGCGAGAGTGCATTGGGTGCGAGGCGACTGCTCTTCTGGCTCCTCCAACCGTCTGAAAGGTGCGGTGGTCAGCGGCTCACTACCTCCTGCATTCATAGCTGTTGTGTGGGCCTCTCGGATGACCGATTCCCCGATATGGCTGACCTCCTCTACCACTTGAAGAATGTTATGCCGAGGGAGGTGGGAACGCAAGCACTGGGTGCCTCTTGGCGTGTACTTATTGGTCAGCCCAACTTTTATACCCTATCTTTCCCTTTAAGGTCTTCGCTAGGTGGGTGGACTGCGCCTTGTCAAGTCTACCAGTAGTAAGGGCTGACGGTTTGGTGCAAGCAACGGAGGAACAAGTGGCTGACTTCAAGAATGCCGTTATGAAGTAAGTTAATCGCCAGCGCTCTCCACTGTCAATTGTATAGGTAGTCTACACAAGGTGAGTTACTTTCTTTTTGCCTTATTTCAGCGCCTCGCGCACAAACGGGATCGTTCACGCATTGGACGCATTTGTGGTACTTTTCCGCTGAAAACAGAGCTCTGATTACTGCCCCCATTTACTATTTCTACTCTTTGTATAAAAGCTAAACCCGTTTCCCTTGGCTGTAGCTGTTTTATAGCCCACGACATCAATGAAGTGTATCAACTCTTGTACACCTTCCTACGACAGTACTTGTGTGGGCGGTGCGCTGAATTTTAGCTCGCTTTGCTGGAGGGTTTATATTTTAAAGAATTTTGAACTCTAAACGTGGCTTGTCCCACATTGACCTAAAGCTGGATGTATTATTGCTGGGACCGTTCTAGCAGTGTTAAAGCAGGAAACGAAAAATCCTAAAAGTACTCCACACTGACAGGTGCATGATCTCACCAGACGAATGAGTAGACATTATAACAATCACAGTTTCACCGAAAGAAATATTCACTTCCTACTGTCTGTACAGATTCTAAGCCTGAAGGTTAGTCTCGGTTACTGATTCGCCGAAGGATGCGGTAGTGAGACTTGGCGACCCGCCAGAGAGCCAAGTAGGGGCGCTTGGCGTCTACGGGAGTTTTCGTGATGCCTAACAGGCCTCGGACCCGATTGCTGAGACAAAAAAGGTTTAGCACCAATTGGTGCGACGCCGACGTGCACCAGAAAATTACGAGAGCCTTGAGAATAATATACCGCGATCAGTGAATGGAATAATGGGTTGGTATAGGCGCGTCAAAAGATGTAAACTTACAGACGGCGCGAAAAAAGAAAAGAAGGAGATCAAAAGGGTGCCTAGATGACCCACTCTATGAGCAAATTTCAACTGCCAGGGCAGGCAAGTGGGCATCACAGTTGTGGCACAATCCTGAGCGGCGAGTTTGGGGTCGAGAGTCATTGTAGTAGTCGCTGTTTGTCCGTAGACACGTCTTATATGACTGATTTCAACGTTAAGTCCCGTTGCAAGGGTTGTCGCTGCGATGAGGCATAAAGATGTAGTTGGTGAGGTCAGTCCTTCCGATACAAATTCGGGGATCATCGGAGGCCAATCTGTCAGAAAATGCAATATATCCTTACCACTAGCCTGTGACTGAATACGTGCATAGTCAATACGAGGCCAGATTGGGCGGGTTATTTTCAAGTAAGAAACCAAAAATTTTCGATGGCTTACACAGAAAAGGGGTGATCTGATGTCCACAAGCGTTTCTTAACCCAAAAGTTACTGTCATCCAAACGGGTAACTGAATCATCCCGAAAAGAGCAGACTTCAAGGGGTGACATCTCAATTTCTGACAATATTGAGTAAAAGTCCGTTGAAACTTAATGAAAAATAAGACAGGTTAGTCATTGCTCTTAAGAATGTTTGGGACTCACATATTCTTTAATGGCTTCGTAGTAAAGAGGATTTCAACAATCATTTGTATTGATCAAGAATGGAAAGACAATAAAATCAACGGGGAAATAATGGTCATTATTAAACCCAGGATACCAATGCAAATTACCAGCGACCGCTGCAACCTGGCATCAATTTTTCCATCCTTCTGACGGATGGAATGGGCAGGATTCGACGTTTCCAGTGCGCTTTGGTGGTAGGCAGATATGACGAGAGCATGATTTCTTTCAGTGAAGGCATAAAGAGGACTGGCCAAGGCCGAACGGAGAATCACAGTTGAGACTATGATAGTCTTAGCATAAGAAGAAAAATGGCCAAAGTCATGACACATGCGCAAACCCTCGGCGACTGCTACCATGTGTGGTTGGAGGGGATTAAAGAATTCAGAGATAAAGTAAACAGCCGGACTGGACCATGAACGTGTCAACAGGAGGTTGCAGGGTTGGCGACAAAGAATGGTACGAAATATATTCACTCCGATGGACATCGATGAACAGAAATGACGGTTTCAGAATATAAGCAGGCAAAAAACGACAGTGCAAGGAACGCAAGATTTTTAAACTTGCTAATAGAAAAGGCGCTTAGTATATCGTTAACTTGAGCGAAGACCGTAGGAAAGTAGTAAGAGGTACTGGTTACGTTTTGCTGCAGGCAGAAGAGAATGTAGACACCCCAATTCCAAAAGAGTAATCGAGCATGGTTTCCGATATCGGGTTGAAAAGGCAAGGCTAATTTGCCAACCAAATAATCGCGAAACTACACAAAGCAGCATTGTGAATAGTTTTAAGTCGTCACAATATTTCCCACTGACAACAGCAATATGAATCCCTGACTAATTTTGTTAATAAATCAGTGAAGCAAATATGACTTTACCAGCATAACCAATTTGATATCGTTTTATGCCGTTTAAACCATGAAGTATTCGATAAAAATAAGAGACATTTCAAAGCGTCATAATGCATGGACTATATTTTAGCATACTTATTTACATCAGTTTTGGTTTAATGCATTACTTCACAAAAATTAAGTGTCATACAAGTTACCAATTCACACAATTAAAACTTTTTCACTAAACCTAGGGCTCTACCCCTAATTTACACAAGTCCACGTCGAATATATTAAGCGTTTTTAGAACAACAAGCTAAAAAGGTCTATAAGACTGTTAAATGCTTTTCATGGGATTTCCTCAAAGGAAAAATGAAAAATGCATGCAAGATGTTCAGTCCCTTATTTGAAACAAAATATTTACCCTCTAGAGTGCTTAGTTGAATTTCTTCTTTGTTAATGAAAGTGGTTTATTGGAGAATTGCTGCATGTTTACTCATAAATGCGAATCTTAAGGTCACGTATTTAACGTACCACTTTGCTTACATTTGTTACAGCGCCCTTTTGATATTCTTCAGCCAACATGAGTGAAAAGGGAAGGCTGACAAGAATGTATATGCCGTTTTATGCGGCATGTGGCTTTACGGCTACTGGATTCATTCTTTTCCTTTTCTCCTTCTCAAGCCCATACTGGCTTGAATCATACGATTATGTACATAGTTCATTCTTACATTTGGGGATTTGGTCTGCATGTTTTAACAAATTTATCCTTCCTGAAGTAATGTCATGCATTATTAAAGCATAAACTATAAAGGACTTTCATGCGAATGAACTTACTGGATGTTACTGGATGTATGACCGTTTCTTTTTCCAAATAGGTATATGGGAGTGGCTGAATCCGTATTGGCTCGTTGCCATCCAGACACTGGTTATTGTGGCTTTTATTGCTGAGTTAATCTCAATACTGGTTCTTATTCTTTATTTTTTGTTATATGGCCAGCCAGCAGCCGAATCTACGATTGTTTGTGGCCTACAGGTAGTAACGTTTTCCTGTGCTTTTCCTATCCACTCTGTTGACTTAACATTTAAGAAGCAGTCATTTTAAGTACTACCTTCTAGGGTTTTTAGAGCGCATTATAATTTTGCATTTTGTCTCTCACTATTTTACTTGTGGTGTAAAATCCCGTATATTTTAGCCTAAGGTACCGATGCTTTTTTACCTTCTAATTTTAGGTTACTTCCTCGCTCTTAATCTCTTTATAAACTAAGTCACATTTTACATGCATTAAAACATTTTTACCTAATCTAACATAGATATTTATTGGAGTGTTGCTATCGATATCTCTGGTTGTCTTCGGTGTAAATTCGCAGAACCGGCAATGGATGCAACGACCAGACCACATGTTTCTCTCGTGGTCTTTTGGATTTTTAATTTTAGCCACCATTGCTTCATTTATTTCCGCAGCGTTTTTGTGTTGCGTGAGCTATACGGACAGAGCTGCCCAGGTAAAGTATGATATTAACGGAACTTTTGCACACTGGTGGTTAACAAGTTTGGTATTTTGACTTATTGCAGGTGTTTATCTGCTTACTCAACACTGATTATACTATTCTTCTTCCCAATATTAACTAATCACGTGCTTTTCTTAAATTCTAATTATGGGGAGATGAGACTTGTCATCTATGTCCACAAATCTTGCCACAACTGTACTGACGTGTCGATAATAATAGCTGAGTTTATTTATTTAAATCGGATTTAATAATTCAGAAATGAGCCTTACAGAGCAACTCCGACCCGATTCGAAATTAATGATATTTTTTGGATTCGGCAAACTGTAGTGACAGATCTGGTGTTGTCACAGTTGCAATCACAAGTCCTTCTAATTGCTTTAGAGGGAAGTGGAACACTACGAAGCGGTTGAAGGCCAGTTTGGGGCGCGATCTGTAGCCGCTGGCACCTACTTGACCGGACGACAGCCCTCTACGCTATTCACTCGCAGCGTCTATGGCAATCAGCCTCGCATGGGCGGTGGTGTTGTTGTTAGCGTTCCAGCTCCTGGTGATGCACCGACCCAGGTAATTGACGTCCTCAGTGAAAGTAGCCTGCACTTATTAGTTTGTAGATTTGAAAACGGCTTCGTAGTTTCCGAACAGTTTAATTTGTTTTCTTAAGCAGTACAAATGTATGATCAATGAGATTTTTAGTTGTTTGGACGAATCAGGAGTTTTCTGTTGGAAACCTAAGCCTTCAGTTCGCTTTTTATGGGGTAAAGAGCTATTTCAACATCGAAATCCGAGTATATCTCTGGTTATTTAATAAAGAAAAGGATGGATATTTTGGCAGAAATGCAGGTACCTGTGTGGTTTGAGATCGCCTGCCTAAATGTTCACGTCTTTTTTTTGTTATATTTCAGCTAATTATCTCTCCTCCTAGATCAAGAAAAATCATTAGTAAAATCCAGTTTATATTTTCGTATGCCGTTTGGAAGTGCTGTTAGTATGTGGGTTAGAACAGGTTTTTTTGATATCTGATAAACTAATGCAACAGATTGGACGGATTGGTCGAAGAACATTTTACACAACCATAAACCACTCTTTCAGAGATCGTCGAAGTCTTCTTACATCTGCAATTTTAATCAATGTTGAGTCATGCGCACACCTAGCCACCAAAGCACAATTTTTGTAATTCCTACATAAAACCTCAACCAAATCACTGTAGTTTCATAATAATAATAATAAATGTCGCTATTTTAAAATTGAAGAGAAGGATTCGACCCAATGCGTTAATTCTTCCCCCTAGACTGTTGAAATTGGAACCGCAAACTTTTACTCGGGCAGTGGACCTACGGGCAGCCAGTTAAGTCCTCTCAGGGAAGATCCCTTGACAGATGACAGGACTCTTGGGGATCAAGGCAGTGGAACGTACGCCTCAAGTGAAAACACTGGCACGCACCAGCAGCTAGGTCGGGGACAGTATTCGAACAACGATACACCTACGCATTCACTGCTCTATGGTTATCACAGAGGTCAAGTCTAGAAGCATTTGCAAACTTATTTCCCAGAAATTGCCTGTTTCTTCCTTATGAAGATTTGTAAGAAAATGATTACCCATTCATATCGCTTTGCAACACCAAAGACTACAACCACTTATAAGAACAGGAAATTGAAATCTATTTGGTGTAATGGGATCTATGCACCACTACGCAAACTGTTCTATCGTTTTACCTGGGTAACGTTTTATTTCGGGTGGTACAACACTGTACCATTAATACCTAAACAGATTTTGGGAATGCCATGCAGCAACAGACAAAAATCATTGTTTGCAATCCTTCGGGGGTCCATATTCTGACATATTTAATAAGCATGCAAGATGACGATTCCAGGTAGATTGGATGAAATGGGAATTTACTTAGTCAACAATGTTCTTGGAGTACAATAAAGACTAGGCAATATGAATTGTTATACAAAGTTCAGAGTTAGAATTCATCATTTACTGACTTGATAATATGTGAGAGTTCAATGTCAAAGACCAGATCGGCGTTTTCTGGGACATCTGGGGGCCTTCCACCAGCACCATAGCCCATCGAACTGGGGACAAAAATCCGACGTTTTTCCTGTAGGCACATTCTAAAAAAATGCAGATTATACACAGCTGCAATGTGGTCAACTTGATTTTCGAAGTTAATGCAGAAATGACGAGAATGAATTTTTCAAAGATAAGTCTTAGCAGCCAAAAGACATTACGGGCTACTTCAAAAAGATGGGCTTGAGAATCCATGCGTGACAAGGCATTGCTATTTTACCATACATTTAAAACAAGCAAAAGCAGCTGAAAACATATAGTCTCAAGCAAGCACTAAAATTTGACGCTTAATTCCGACTACTTATTTGGAGATCTAAACGCCACAGACGTAGTTACAAAATTCTAACCCTAGTATGCCCTTGTTCCAGCCTGGAATAATCGCGTCAGTTCCAACTTTAAAAGAGAATGGAGGTTCTCCAACATTCGAAGCGAAAGTCCTGTTGTCCTTTAATAGCCTACCGGAGAAGGTAACAGACACCTCATCGCGTTTTTCAACGAAAAGATGACATTCGCTTTCCGAAGCAGAGCGGATGATACCTATGCTCAAGTCGGTAAGCTTCCTCGATTGATTAAGGCCGCTCACAGATATTACATAAAGTAGAAGTCTAACAATGTTGAAGACAGTACGGTACATTCAAGAAATGACCAACCAAACGTCAAGATTATGAGCAAGACTTAAGCATTCGACCTTCATAAAACCTATTAAAAGAATATTATATTTAGTTGGAATATTAATAACTTACATCTTTTAGCAAACCGTAAAATTTTTTAAAAAATTTAAAAGAAGTGCTTAGGTAAGGATGGGTTATTACTTTATTTTAAAACAGATCTCTGGTGAGGTTGAACCTGATGAAAAAGCAGTTAGGCCGTGATTGGCGTTAGAGATACATATAAGATTTGTTTTACACTTTAGAGATCGGAGTTTTCCCTAACGTCAATATTTGTCAAAAACCAGGGGCTGCAATTGTATCATTGCCAAAGAGAAGGGCTAAAGGCGATTGGAATGGCTTGAAGATCTTGTCAGCCAGAAAAAAATACATAAGTGAAAACTTCAGTTATATGATAAGTAAACATTCCAAGTATTTTACAGTCCCTCGTCCTTTTAAACTCTGTTTTCCTTATTCTCCTGATCAATTTTTCTAGTCGGCCATTACAGCGTATTCGGCACTCTGATGGATAACACTCATCACACAGAAGCGCCACATAAGCGTGCGAGTAAGAAGACATCAAACTGTTGCGTCAATGATCCCTCTTGGCAGCCCTGCTGGATTTAAGGTTTTGTTCTGCTTAGGAACTGGATTCAAAGAGGAAACTGCTAGCCATCTCGTATGCTTATCGCTAAAAGCACTGCCATTTAATGACGGATGGGGTTTAAAATAGTTTTTTGAAGCAGAATATGGGGTCTCTTCCTCCCTTCGACTGTTTTTACTTCAACGATGTACAGCCACATCTATCTATCTGGGTTCCACTTAGCTAGTAGAGAGGTGGAGGTGGTATCAAGCATTCACTTAATTGATACCCTAATTTAGGTACCTCAGACAGATCCGTTAAGAAAGTTGCAGGATTGTTTGCAACTAGCGCTGCTTCATTTGTTAGTAATATTCCAGCAGAATACAGAAATGGTGTATTAGCCGAAGGTAGATGTCATTTTAACCCTTCTGAGAGGGGTCTTCGGAGATTCTTCCATGCCTGACATCTGCATTCGTCTGTTACGTAATTGCTTAGAGTTCAGTGCTAAAAAAACAGGGTAGATAAACTTTAAAACCAAGCTCGTATGAAGTTGCTGCCATTGTAGCACACCAAATCTACCCTGAAGTGGGAGCAGGTCATGGGAATGTGGTGGAAGGTATACTTTCGACGTACAGAAGATTTGGTCTATCGTCATGGCCCGAAGACCACGACGCCAGGGAGAATTACAGTAGCGAATCCTTAAGTCCCCGCTAACCGAAGCGCCGATTCAAAAGGAAGATCGGTGTTATGCATATTTAATACAAACCGATTACTTTTCGGGTCTTTTTGTGGAGCCTATGTCGTACGACCCTAACAACATTATTATTATTTTACGTGAGTACAAACATCTTGAATGTGTAATTCACCCATCGAGAAGGGCCACACTTTTCCATATAAACACTTAGGTGTCTGCCACGTAAAGAATGGCACATCATGACGTCCTACTTAAAGTTATGTAGGGGAATCCCCAAATGTTTGCCCCCATTATTAGCTGCATAATGTCAATAGTATCTCTTCATCTTGTTGATGAAATTTACCTCCGTAGAGAACGATGTCGGCCTCAGGATATAAATTTTTTACTTTCACAGACGCAAATGTTAGCCTCGGAGACCTTTGTATTACTTCGTAGTCTTTCCAAAAGCCGTAACAAGCCAAAGTACTGCGAAGGGTATGTATTGTCAGCGTGCAGGCGGGCTGGAAGACTTCTAGCTTGGCCAGAAGTCCACGCTGCTGGGTAGACGCACGATCCTCGCAAAATCATCTGCCGGTGCAGTTAAACAAAGTGCAACGTGGCAACAACTTTGGGCATTGAATTTTATTGCTGTACCGCAATCTAGCGCCTTTTACGTATAGATTTGGAACACGGAACTTGGAGCTTGGTGCTCTTCGATCCACTCTCTTTCAAAAAGCTGTCACGTAAAATGATCCCCCTGTGCCTACACTTTGTCCTCGCTAGAATTGGTGTTTTTCTGTCAAATTTTTTACAGGTACAATTAACGTGACCCCTACCATCCATAAAGCTAGTTAAGGATCCGACTGCTACGCAATGCTATATTATTTTATAAAAATGAATCGCCTGATATCCTCGAGAAGGACAGGATTTTGCTACAAGCATACAGAAAAGCCGGTAGACTGTTGAATGTAGTGCGATGAACAGAGCCACCAAGATGGTGGCAGAAAAAATGTAGGTATTGAAAAGTTACGTGCATAATGAAACATGTATTGTTCCGTTGCTGAAATACCCCAATCCAAACCAGTGGTAGGTTCTGTAGGCATCACTGAGTGTGTTCAGTGACCGCATATGCCGATACCTGCGATTCAATTGTCAGTGGTAGGTAAACATGTAAGGAATTAATCCCAAAATTGCTGATTATTTGTTGAAATCTGCGTTTCGGCAATGCGGGTACTTCCGCTCGCTGGCTTGGCCTCTGGCCCATGCTGATAGCGGCAGCCCCCCTGCACACCAGCAGTACACCTTTCTCTATGACTTCTTCCGTCGTCAGGGAAGGCTTAGGTTTCTACTTCGATGTCAGCTGAAAGCGGACCTGATAATAGAGGATGGAAGAGGAGCATATGCTGTGGGTGGGAGAATCTAAATCAACCTCTGATTGAAATGTTGAAAATCACATCTACCCTCTGCAAATACACCAATTCCGCGTTCCCCAGAAACGCTGTCAACAAGTGGATCGACACTAACCATGGCCGTAAACCATCTTGAATAGTTGGTTAAGGAGCTGTCTACGGTACCTGTGCAGAGATGTCAATTACGTGAACATGCAATAATACTGGGTAGATACAGCTGGATGGCAATGAAGTGGGAACAAAGTGGCAAGGACGAAGAGCCACATCCATGAAAATACTTTAAAGCCCGCCCGTCATTAAATGACCCTACTTTTAGGTCGGTGCTCATGAAAATAGCGAGGGACATACGAGATAGCCAGCACACCCCCCTCTTCCACCAACACAATTTCCATACGGGTCAAAACTCCAGATCCAGTGGAATCGTCGAGAAGGACCAGTCGGGTTGTAATCAAATATCGCCTCAGTTTCACGCAATTTCAATGCCTGTCGCGCCTGGTTTGTGGGTGTTTTCTCTCATAGCACCGACTACTTTGCAATGGCCGACAAGAGAGGGTGACCATAGGGAGAGCCGGGGACCACATTCAAAGGAGGCGAGGGGAGTTCTATAACACTTTAGGTGTTTGTTTAACTCTTCATTTTCTTTTCGCGGGCACTTAAGGCTCTGACATTGTAATTCCGTTCGACGACATGGCCTCCTAGCCATGCATACCAAAATACACGTCTTTGGGCGTTTGTGAATTGGTGAAGTCGAAAGCTAGAATTACGACCTTCTCACATGTTGAAAAATGTGGTTTGAATTAATTTTTTGGACATTTTATTTTTACTCAATATATTATGCAAGACCTTTCCAATGTAGCATCACTAAAACGCTGACATCTTCCTCCAAATTTTCTTCTTCATGATTACTAAATTATTTCTTCTTGCTTTGCATCCTTGACTAATTTTCCACCGTGTCGTTCTCAAGGGCTTAAGGCTTACTCCACAATCCTTCGTCTCGTGACCGTGCGAACCCTCAATTATCAACTTCCTCAAGAGGTAGTCTCGCCCATCGACGGGGCGACGAATTAGTAAGGTCAAACCTGAATGCCTGAACACCACAGACGATTTGAAATGGCGCTCTTAAAGCAGCATTCTTTTCTAGTGTTTATCACAGCAATCAATCCCCCTCATAAAATCAGTGTTAGACTTAAGGTAACTATCTTCTCTCTTAGTATGACACCTTATTTTCATCTCCCAACTAAAAAGCAACGCTAAATCAGGCTTAATAATACCTGTGTCATAGAAATTACGTCTCCATGGTATGTAGACGAAATGCAACAATCTAAAATTCCATAAGACTAATCACAATCCACAAAAATTTGACCTTGCCTCACTTGGGCTGTTTAAGAGCAGTCCCCTGTTCTCGAATCCACATCCATATAATTGTGCATTGGGGACCCTGGTTTTACCCCTAGTACATCCACGGAACACCGGAGAGGCTTTCTGATCACTTCCAGTAGCCATAGTCAATCTTCAGCTGGAGGTGCTGTATGAGTACGTCATTCCAGGTGGCCCTTGTGCAGCGCCTAGACTCCGTGCCTGAGTTGCCGTGCGTGTCAATTCACGCATCTCCCTCACTTCCATCTGCCATGGTCCGGGCCACGTGCATGTGCATGGTCGGGATAGCAACCAGCCCTCCCTTCAGTGGCGCCTGAGGAGTGCGGGCGTTACCAGGACCCCGAAGGTTGCAATCTCTCAGGTCCGAAATCCCTTCCGCCTGCGTATGTGACTCAGCTCCCTTCCCTTAGCTGTGAGTTGGTCGAGACAGCGCCTCTCCACTCTCTCGGGTCCGTGACTTTCACCAATCAGCGACGATTCATTTCTAGAGACCAAAGACCGACTCACGTTTTCTCAGATTCAACTGTGTGCTCCGTCAGAAACACTCCCTCAGGGTGGAATACCAACTTCAGCATAACACAACCGTTGTAAACAAAAACAAGCATGTCTTAAACTTGAACCCAAAAACTCCGCATTAGGTTTCTCTCACAATAGCATCCTCCCCTAACGCCCCACCTAAAGGTGACAATCAACAACACAAATAGACTGCGAATCTGATCGGATAAAAACACATTTCAAAGACATATACACAAAAGGCGAACCACAGCAGGTGGTTCAAGATAACGTATTTCTGAGAAACTGAACGATGGAATCGTCAAATTCGCCTTTAACCTGAGTTTGGGAGATCGGCTGATAGTCTTGGCTCATCTCTCTCCTCTCCTCCTCCTCCTCTTCCACAAATTTTACTGCCTGAAATTGGGAAGAGGATGACCAATCATTTGACTATTTCAAGGCAACTGAAAGCCAAAAAAAAAAGACTCAAACTCACAGGTTCTAACACGGGTGGATCAGTCGGGATTGAGGTCCGCCGACTTCCATCAGATTTCCCGCCACCATGATCGTCAGCACCATAATCCTTATGGTCGTCGTTACTATCATGCTTTAGGGAATTTATCTGTACGAGGATCTGCGACGAGTTGGACGGCAGTGAAGCAAGTGGTTGCGAAGTCGGTTGTTGCGGTATGCAGCTCACAGACGAGGATGGCGCATTCTCCGAATAGTACATATGCAGTATGTCGTTCGCGGGTGGGGGATGGAAGATGATCATGCGGATTAGGGCTTCGTTCGGCAGATTTGCCACACTTCGTGCATTGAGGCATTTGCGCATGTGCTTTGCCACATCCCACTTCCACTTGGACCGGTAGTTGCAGAAGCAGCATCCAAACATCTTGTGACTTGAGTGATTCACTACATGAGCTTTCACCTCACTTTGCCATCGACCGACGTAAGGACAGATGTGACACGGCACCGGCGCCTCTTCCGACCGTTTTCGGTCGCTACTAGCAGCTATGGGGTCAGCTCTAGGTTCCGTTGAGCCGATGAGAACACTTCCAACAGCTCGCAACAGACTGCAGGTGCTTGACGAGACCGCATCAGTTGTTTGTACACTAGGCGGCTCCGCTTTGAGTGCATCCAGAGCGGATTGGATGAGGAGAGTAATGATCACGCGATCACGAAGAGGAGCAACCACATCCACCTCGGTCACTCGTTCCAAGGTAGCCTCGTTATCTCTCGGTCGGGCCATAGATAAGTCGAGCGGTTCCGACTGCTCGATTGAAGAGATGGGAATGTCGCTTCGTCGCCTCTTTATCAGCATCGCGGAGGGCGATTCTTGGGGCAGTCGGCGGAGCGAGGTACGCATCCTGTGCACCGGCGGAGATGGCCGAGGCACAGATGCAGAGGCACTTTTGGTGAGTCTAGAGTCGTTCTGTGAGTCGCTCTCGTTCGCCAACTTCATCCCCGTGCTACCGTCACTCGCGGTGTGCTTGTCTTTCCAGTGTTTGTTGAGGGACTTTTTGTGCTTGTATACGGCACAGCAAAGACGGCATGCGAACGTTACCAAACCGTCGCTGCTCTTGCGCTTTAAAATGACAAGGAAATTTAAGTATTATGGCAATGAGGAAGGAAATAAAACTCCCGTTCTATTATTTACACTATGCGGAGATAGGAGAGCCACACTTTTTTCCACAACAATCAGTAGCTTTATTGGTAATTGAGACCATCAGGAATTTCTCTTCCTCATCCCACATCGCTATTTGCAGGGCTTCGATCCGATTCGTGGTTTTGCCACATTAGGGTGGCACACTCACGAAGCTCTCGGATCAACAGTAGCATTAACGCAAAGCAGTTAAAGACATAATCATTGTAGACAGGTCCTGCCGGTAAAACGCCGATGTCTTAAACTGATATTCACCTCTCAATCACTAAAAATTAAACTAAAATTCAATCCCTGCAAATTTAGCGCTGATCCACAAAAGGAAAGTGAATAGAAATGGACGGACAAGGAGGGACCAAAGCAAGCGGGGAGGTGGAAGGGCACCACGAAAAATCGTACATGCGGGCGCTGCGTTGCCATCTGCTCACCACCAGCACAGCCACCACGATTCATAAAATTTGTTAACCATGAGGACGCCTTTGAGCAGGCAAATCCGACCCTCTGTGCTGCCTTCCCCGCCATCCCCCGCCCCTGGTCTCGGACCAATGCGCGATGCCGTCATGTAGGTCAACCTGTCCGGCCAACAACCCACTAACGCCGGTGTAGGTGAACTCACCGTCCGACACAAATCTCTATTTGCTGTGTGCAGGGCACGACTGTCCACGACACTTTGAAAACAAAAACTTGATTTTAGGCAGAAGAGTTAACGCCCCCCCCCCCTCTCCCGCCTCCAGGGCCAAATGAGAGACGGGCTAATGAGGAAACAAGTTGTGACCCGTTCACTTCCGATCAAGAGAGCAGACCGGGGCTGCGTGGGCACAGGTTTGTACATGAAAGCAGCAGTACGGTGTGGGGCCAAAGTGGACAGAGGATTATAGCGATCGCCGCTGGGCCAGAAGCACAGCCTTCAATGCAGCACATTGCCAGGGTAATGGAAGTTGGAATGCGGCACCTAGATTGCCAACCAGTTTTACGATTTCTGATAGCTAATGTACTGGAGAAAGAACACTGAAATTTGTTTAAAGATGGTGTGTTTAGAAAAAACCTCCTTTTTTACTTCTTGTAAAATAGGGAATTTTCCCAGAAGTTGGAAACTTTATCCTCTGAGGGAAATTTGCCAACTGTTACTCTAATTTACAGAACATAAAATCAAAATTACCTAAAATTTGTTGAATACAAACGTTTACTCCACCACAGCTGCTCTTCAATAGACATACTTCTGCTAAGGTTAAAAGAGATTTCACTAACTTGAAGAAACTTCTAAAAAATGCATAAATTAAAATAATGGTGCATTCAAACCTCTTGGTACTTCCAAGGCTCGACTGGACGTCTCAATTGGTATTGTAATTGGATGGTATAATTCGAGGCCGCGGGTTGGATTTGTTGTAAGCGTTTTGTGATTGGCTTGAAGGGAGTGGAAGTTGGCTGATTAGGCCATCCGCCAGGAGGAATATTCTCCTTGCCAACATCTGACAGAGGCTGCGGCGCCTTCATGTCCCTAGGGGAGCACAGCTCGTCGCTTATTTGGGTTATCTCACGGATCTGCAGCGGCACGGCACCTTCTTCCACTACGGCACTTTGATCCGCCCCAGACGGAAAGCGCACCTCAGACATGACGCAGGGAACTGACGCTGGCGCTTACGCAGATGGATTTTCGATGGGCGTGTGTGTGTGTGTGTGTGCCTCTGTGCGTTTTGGACGCTCCGCCAATGACGCTGAAAGCGCCGTGCGTGTTTACGTGCGGACGTGTGTGTGCATGCACGCATCCTGATAGCTGGCTCCAGGTTGAGCAGCTGCCTGAGCGCTACTTTGTTGCGGACGTGCGTATGTGTGTGTGCACGCACATGCACGCACGCATGCACTCGCGCGACTGCTGCGCTGGTGTTATCGATTTTTCGGTTGACGCGTCTGCCTCTGCAAAGCGCGGGGGAAGCCGGAGCGGGGGCGGGACGGAGAGGAAGGCGGGATGCGTCATCCTCCGGGAGCCGCGGCCAATGCTACTCTGAGTGCGTGCTTGCGGCGCCCCGCGCGTCCAGCTCGAATAAAATGCTCTTTGTCGAGGCAATCAGTAATGGTAGCATATGTCCGCATTTTTGGCAGTCAGTCTGGTAATTTTACTTTGTGAATTTGAGGCAAAAAAGTGAAAAGGAAGGAAAATTTGCCGCAGATCAATTATTATTGCTTATAAGTGTTACCAAGGAAACATTTAAGGAGTTTTTATTACGGCTTTACAACTTTGTTGGAACCTAATTCAACTTTTCGCCATGAATGCAGTGATTTCACCTCCAAAAGTTGACAATGAGATTTTGAGATGTAAAAAATCCGGAACGCGTTTGCTGTATCCTTATCCCACTGGATTTGTTCTTCCCAAGTACACAGTTCCCTTTTCATATAGACGCTGTGAAAAGTCTCTTTTAATGTCAAGGCTGCAGCTCCCCGATTCCTTCCCTGAAGCTGGAAGGGGCCATGCACTAGGACAGAAAGTGGATTGCCGACGCGACGAAGAGCTGGGAGCTGCTGACAGAAAGATACTAGCCAACCTTTAAGAGTCCTCGGCGCTCCCTTCGGTTAACCTCCCGAGTCGGCCATCATAACGTAGTCGGTGCTGTAAAAAAAATGTCGACGAACCAAGCGCGCCAGTCATCGAATTTGCCTTCAACTGAGAAAACATCCAACCGCAATTGGCAATTCCATCGGATCTGGGGTTTTGTCCTGGTTAAAGGGGGTATTAGGGGCTGGGACAATACACAGGTCATCACTTTTTTCCATTGCCTGTCGTAAGAACACTGGCCTAAGAGTAGGGGAATCTAATGACGAACGGGGTTTCAAATATTTGCGTGGGGTAAGGTCTAGCGCCTGTTCCTCCTTGCCATTCTGTCCTCACTTCGGCGCTGCCCAGCCACATCTTACGGGGTTCTATTCAGCTGGCAGAGAGATGAAGGTGGTATCGCGTGTTCACTTAGTTGACATCTTTATGCAGGTGCCGTAGACAACTTCTTAACGGCCTTGTCCAGGTGGTTACGGTTAGAGTCGCTTTAATTGTTAACAGTGCTCCTACAGAACACGGGACCGAGGTAGTTACCGAGGTTAGACGTTATTATTAACCCTTATGTTAGGGGTCCACACAGCTTCTTCCATCCGCACCGTATCCCCATCTTCCGTCAAGGTAGGTTTGGCAATTAGTAATAGAAACTAGGGTAGATGGTCTTTAGGACCGCGTTGGCTTTCCAACACCACCAATGTAGCGTCGCGAGCCTTTCCTGAAGATAAAAGAATTAGTAATTGGGGAGTAGAATATGTATTACTGACGTAGAGAGGGGTGGGGTGGGCGGACCCCTGAAACTCGCGTAGCAGGAATTCCACCCGGACCAATTTAGTAAAGTTTGCCTTTCTTAATCCACTTCAGAACCTTGATATGCTGGCTTTTGTAGTAATTCACTTCTGCAAATGTTTTGCAGTGGTTGCGTGACAGACCTCATGAACGTGTGCAAGACGGGACTGGCAAATTACATTGGGTATTGGAACCACCTGCACCGGAGTTCCGATTTGCGTCTGCGATAACACAACAGACCGCCCCTCCCCTTCTCCACTACGGGATGAAGATAATGCGCTGCCAGGACAAATACATTCGATACCTGATATACAGGTTCTGTCCTTCAGGACCACGCTGCCACAGTTTGAGTATTTATTGCAACACAATGGTGAAAAGCTGGGAGGGTTTCCTTTAACAACTTGAATGTGATCATATAACTGTGTGGTGACATCAGTGGCGTTCTGCCAGAACATGAATTCGGAAGCACCATATTATGAATGCAACCCACTAAAACCAGTAAAACATCACAGACCCTTAAGCTTTCCATTCAATTGAAATAAGCGAGTCAAGATCGGGACCACTCGACTGCACTTTTCAGCCATTGAAGGGCAGGACTTGGTTTGATAACCCTGCAGATGTGGTGTCTAGGCTCCAGTTTGTGTTTGAATTAAATTCTCTCGGGGCGGTGAATGCAGGAGTTGCTTGCTTTCTCACTCGTCAGTACTTCCAGCGCTGCCAATTCCGACTAACTTCACTCCACTTGAAGCAGTCAGGTCACAATAAACGAAACTCCCTTCTAATCTACTTAGAGAGACTACCCAGTTTCCACCAAAAGATTCCCTCTGTGTACCGTTACCTTAGTAACACACAGATGCAATACAAATAACCTGAAACTATTACAACATCTCAACAATTAACTCATTCCAAGCCAACGAAACTTTAGTACAAATCGCAGAGGACTGTCAACCTCTCATTGCAGGAAGTTGTGGTCATGAAGCCACTTTTAAGGCGTTTGACACAGCGGTTGTCTTTTTTGGAGAAGATATCACAGTCCCACTTCCTAAAGGGATTGCAAATGATTGCGAGAAAGGCTCACCAACCAACCCATAGGTGACAGGATCACCATCATTGAAAAACGCGGAGCCCACTACCCGCGTGAGGAGGTAGATAGGCTCATCGACGAGTGATTTTAGGGCATTCTAATGAGTGGGTAAATTCAACAACATGATGCCTCACATACGTTTTCAGCTTCGTTTTTCAAGTAGACCATCTTCGTGTTCAGTGAATTGCAAAGTGCCGCGCCCTCCGCATAGGTCAGTTTGGTGTAGCTCTTAAAGTAGCAGAGGTCGACGCACTTGACCTCTAAACAACGTGATGGAGACAAGCGGAGTGAGTGCTCGACTTACCACCTACACCAGTGTGCAACGTCGATGGGGTTGTGAAGGCCTTCCACACGGAGGAGCACTGTCCCAACCCCAGGGTTGGCGGAACGGTGTTCAAGTAGATCAGTAGTATAATCAATTTCATAATGTCAGGTGGCATATGTCAAACATCTGCCAAGACGTTTGTCAGTTTCAAATTCAAACCCTCTAATTGATCAAAATCGACTGCGTGAAAGATGACAGCGGACATTCTGTTTGTCAATGACCGAGGTTCTTGCTGACCCGATGTCATTTTAATTGACAGGTACATTTCATTTTTTGTCTTAATCTTATAAACATCAATTTGATTAATACTACCCATGTCTGAAACAATTGCTACGCGTGGAGACTACCACCGTTAGATGATTCGTCCGAAATATGAACCGTACACAGAATTTTCCTGTTTAAACTTTTAGAATGAGGCAAACTTTATCGTGGACCTCGTGCCCCTCCCTGAAGATTCTATGAGACGTGTGAATCTGGGTAGGCCTCAAGCACAAACATACAAAATAGCTGTTAGTCAAGAGAAATGATGTAAACGGAATGCCATGTCATACAACCCAAGTGGTGATCGCCATCCATGGAGAGCTCCCGCATTTAGGCGTACAACAAAACAAGTATCGTACAGTGACACTATATAGTAACATAGATCCAAACGTAAGCTCCTGAGGAAAACTAGCAACTCCTCGTCTGTTTCCAACAAAAAGGGAAATAAACGAAGTTTTGTGCTGCCATCTATGCACTCATTCAAACGCAATTTATTTATTAGGTAAAGTTTTTTTCCACCACTCGTCGCACCTTCGTGATTCTTCATGAATGACCGCGCGCCTAGCAGAAGCTTTCCGGGTTATTTCACTCGGGACGAGAGCACCGTCAAAGCAGGCAGCTTAAGTGAACAATTTATTTTACTTATTATCAATAGTAGAACAGTGAAATCCAATGGGCTTTTAAGGTCGCACATCCGTGAGGCCCAAAACGACACCAAAAAATAATGCACCATCAGACAAAATGAGGAATAAGTTATCATCCCAATTAACCTTATTTACAAACCAGATTGAAGTGGAGTTTCTTCAAGACTCTATGGATAGAGTCGAATGCGTGGAGGATCGAAGGACACGCATGGTGGTCGGTTTCGGTGTTATCCGTTTTCTTGCAGAATTCGTCTTCGATGTCACCTTGGCGCGTTTCGTAGGTGTCGCTGCTGGCGTCGTGTTGTCTGCGCCTCGTTTCAGCGGCATTATGGTCACCTCATTTTTGGGGGTGTCATCACTAATCTCCCCACCCTTTTCCTCATCCGATTGATCGCCTTGAGTGGCATCTACGGGCGCCTTTCCTCCATCCAATTCGGGATTTTGAACAGGAGCACCATTAACGGTCATTTTGCGTCTAAGCCAAGCCTTCCGCTTCGCCTTCCGGTACCTTTTTCGGCTTGCTCGTTGTTTCTACATAAATAAAATAACTTTAACAAGAGTAGCACTAAATTCTTTTGTAAGATTTGTCCAACGCACAACAAATGCCCTCGTTATATTGAACATTTTCGTGCTCGGTTTCATGAAGGTGGTGGGCATTTAATACACTCTAGTTTAATTGGGTTAAATACCGCTTACAAGTGACATACTGTGCAGACTGGATAACATTGATTTTGAATTAACAAACCCACCTCCAGCTCCTGCATAGTCCTCTCCAGATGCACACCGTTCGCCTCCGCCCACACACGCAGTTGTCGCTTAGTCTCCTGGCCTAGGGCAACACCATATTTACCAGAGTCCAAATTTTGCGAAGCGACAGCGCTTTTCGACTCGACTGTAGTAGTGTCAACAAAGGGATTCATTCTACGGTAACAGTCAGCTCTCGCGGCCAAAGTCGACTTGGCCGCGAGCAAACGAGCAACTCGACGCCGAACCACCATATCGCGCAGCCGACCGCCACTCATCTCAACAATGCTTTTAGTTAAGGAGGATATTGCTGGATCACTCTTCCTCTCCTCTTCGTTTTTTTTCTCGGATTTCTCTTCGGCATTAACATTACCCTCTGCTGAGGCCTGAGTTAGTGTGCGTCCCAGAAGACCGGCGGCAGTGGCGACCACGGCACCGCTTCGCCTGTATCCAAAGAGGAGTTAAGATTTAGTTCGCAGCCATTTGCCGTCTATTTCGACCATAATAAATCCCGTAAGTAAAACGTCAATTAACAGAACCTACTGGAAGAGAGACTTCGAGGCACCCAAAGAGTTGATTCGAGAACTGGGCATTTTGGCAAGTCTGTCGAGATTGACTGCATGTGAAAGGAGTCGAGCAGCAACAATCGCGGGCGAAACACGATCACTGACCTTTCGAACCCGCTCCAAGGACGCGCTATCCCCTATTTCGGGTAGTGCTTGGTCCATTAATGCGGTTAAATTCGGTACCAGTGCCCGAACGCGGTGCTCCAGCATTTCATAGCAGTGCGTCCTGGACTACAAGAATGAATTAATTCACAGCTGGCATTAGATTTAAGGAGTGATAGCATCACTGTTACATACCTCGAGTAATTTGAGAAAAAAATGCCCATACTGTTGCAACGTCTTGACATCATCAGGAGACATATCCTGACCAGTAGAAGTTTTCGCAAGTTCAATGACGGTTTCAGCCAATTTCTGATTACCACCCAACCACCCTATTAGCTGTTCCTTCTGCCGAACCAGCTGATCTCTCAGAGGAGCACGTGTGACAATAGAAGCAAGTGCAAAGTCATCCATTCCGGGCAATCCGCCGCCGCGACACACTTCCGGGAAGTGGAGACCATAAGAGACGCGTAAATGTTTCATCGATTTGGCAAGACTTGCGTCCATACTATCAAGAAGGTCAAGAGATCGCACCACTCCTGTGTCGGCGAGATGTTGGATAAGATCCAACTGCAGTCGAGCACGTGATAGAGCCACGACTAATTGAGCACGCTTTTCGGCCATTCGTGCGGGGACGGTCTCTTGCTCAGATGTAGTAGGTTTTTTAGCCGCGGAAATGGATGCTCCTGGCTGCACAATTAGAGAACGCAAAAGCCGGGAGGAGTTGGCTCGAATAACCCGCAACAACTCGCGGATGGAAGCGTCCCAAATACACTCGAAGCCAATATCGAGCTGCCTACAAGAGGAGATGGGTAATGCATAGTAATATGAATAGTCAGTGAAAGAAGTTTGTTAACTGCAGCTTACAAAATGCCTTCACCTAGTGCCTGATCAGCAACGCCAAGAACAGCATCTTTGACTGGCAGATTTTGCCTCAGAAAGCCAGATAAAAGAGGCGAAACTCGGCCTTCACTGATATTTTGCACATTTTCCATGGCTTCTGGAAGGGAGTTGAAGGGGACAAATGCAATTGGCTTCAAGAATGAATTAACATGTGCGGTGAAGGTCTTGGTAATTTCGTCAAACTCTCTCACCAGAAAGAGACTATAGCCAGATACATTTTCGAAAAGAACGTAATGTTGGATGGTCTGAAAGAGAAACAAAAATGAGGTAAGTTCATAACAAGGGAAAAAACGAGTCAGCCCAACAACTTACAGCCATCCGATGACACGACCGCCCCCTACTCACACGCCTCTTGTTCACCTAACGCGCTTATTAAGGTTGTTGAAATAAAGCAGTGCAGTTTTAGAAATTAAACAAGCAGTAAGACCTTTTTGAGCGTATTATGATTTTAATTGCCCTAAAAAATTTAGGCGCTTGCAACCAGTAAATAAGTTTTGCAATTTGATGGCTGCATTACAAGCTTTTGTTTTATTATAACCGAATTACCATGGTTCTTACGTTTATAAAAAAATAATTATTACATTAAGATTTAAAGGCAAAGATGGCTTTAGATTTAGCAAAGTTTTTTGATCAAATACTAGCTGAGATAAAAGGCGTATTTTTAACCTGAAAATTTCATAAATCAAATTCGATTTAAATAATATGATCTTTGCTGCAGTGAAGGGTAATTCGATTTATTTTGAATCCTTCAACAGTTACATTAGTGGTATAATAATTGTTGCAAAATGAAAATGCTCACATTCTGTTTTGTTGCAATGTGCATAAATTACATAGAATCATAAATTATTCAATTAATCAAAATAAACCATGTGACCTAACTAATGACTAGGGCGGTTGTTTATAACCTTTACTTCAGGAGCGGCAACGTTAACAGATCTTTGACGATCGCCGAAACCAGCCCTGTGGTTATCGCGCCTATGGAGTCGTTTAGTGCTTCAAATCATAATGCTTATGATGTACAGGAGGAGGAATTAGCAGAAGGTACTTGGGTTTCGTAACGATTGGCATTTATTCCCGTAGTTCTACGTGAGGGACTGAAAGATTGCTTTAGATCCGTTAAGGTTAATGTTGTCCCTTGTCCGGATCTTACAGCGTCCCCCTTTGGGCTTTTGCGTCCAGGTTATTACCATTCAGGTTTTAATTGGAAGTCCTTAGGTCTTGCCGGTAAAAGTGTTGTATGCGACGTGGGCAGCATGACCTACCTTCTTCCTGTTGCAAACACATCTAAGGTACTGTGCTTCTGTTGTTTTCTTTTCCATATTCTAGAGATACTCGTTTGGTCAAGTTATTGAATCGTCGGGAGTCTGTGGAGGTCAGCTGCTTGGCGCCGGTGGCGGCCCTTTTTTCACCCACGGCAAAAGTTGCGAGGTGTGTAGTGGCCGCCTAGATTGTTGTCATTGATGTCATTATATCTTGTGCTTCTGTAAAAGTTTGCCTAATATTGCTCTACAAAAGCTTGGTCTTTGGCAGTGCAACGTTTTTTTCTGGTTTATGGGACACTTTTTTTTCTTATCGTTTCTTCAGATGGCTGCAAGTCTTCAATTCGCGAATGGCAAAATTGCATCTAATTCCACTCTCCACGGTGTTTATGATGAGCAGGTAGGTGTCTACCACAAATAATGTAAAGAATCTCAAATAGTTGTATTTACAAATCGTAATAAGAACCTTTGTCACCTAATCTGTGTTTCGGAAGTCTGTCGTTATGTCAATTTAGTCGTAATATTACATGTTTCCGCAATGTTTGCTCGTTATGATTTTCATTGCTTAGCATACTAGTGTTATGTGGCTCCATTTCTAAAAACTGTTTACTTGCTTTAAAATACTCGAAATATGATCCGTTCTTCTTAAAAACCGTTGAGTCTTGGATACTAGTGTGCATGAAGTTTTCCCTTGAGTCGCTTTTACTGCAGTGCATTACCGTAAGATATCAGGAAATGTTTTTTTGTATTCGAGGGACTTCTAATAAAATCGCATTGTAGGTACACCAATATGTGGGGAAATGTCCATTTTATCCGCCTCAACTATGGGGGCTCATCATGTGCGTGGCCTGTTTGGCATGACCTGACCCCTCTACTTTGCCTCCGTCTTATTCTTTGCACTTTAATCAACCAAATTGCTCTTGTTGGTTCAATATATATCAAAACTCCATTTGCTGTAGGCAGGCAGTGAAGGCTCAACCTTCTATTTCTTTCAGACCGGAACCCCCCAGGTAATCAACGCCACTGACAACAACTTTGGTCTCGTGGGTCAACTCCTCTCATCCGAGGGTCTACCTGGATCGGTAATAGCTCGTACACGCATCATTCCCTCTCCGGACCCCCTACCTCTCACTTTCTCCCTCCGATTTTTGGTACCAGGTGGTCGAAGTTGATGTGGCGGGCAGACTGAAGGAGGGTTCTGTCTACGTATTCTTGCGAGAGGTGCTCACAGCTGCCTACGGGAAGCTAGACAAGCCGGTTGCTCTTGGTGGAGTTTTTGTGCTCACCGACAGTAAAGCTCGTTTCCATGTTCTTGTGAGTATGCACTGGCTGCATCATATGAAGATATCACCGTCGATGATTTTGTCGAGGCAGTCTTTATTAAAGTTTTCTGCCTGTTCTATGAATGCAAATTTCCTACATGGTATTCCAACCATTACCTTAACTTGAACTTGATCCATATCCTTTTCTGTATACTTTGCTTTTGAGTTTCATGTCGAAAGAAGATGGATAGTCATTAGTGTGAACTGAATAGTTTTCCTCTAGTTTCACGATTGAAGAGGGTTAGAACTTCAGCAACGCTCTTCACAGATGAGTGGAAGATTGGAAATGGGCGTTGCCGAAGAGATTTGGAGCATTATCCGGCATTGACACTTAGCAGTGATGGCTTTGTTCGATGGTCTATTCTGTCAACTTCAAACTAATGCCCCTCTGGGAATTTTTGGAGCCACAGTCGATTCCTTCAGACAGTCATATTACAATGCTTATTCCACGAGTCACTTAATCTCTATTTTATAGAATGTACATGCGTCAGTGACGGTCCTCTTGTTAGTCAATAATGGCTTTCATACGGTTTTCTGGATCGGCTTAATTTTAGGCACGTTTTTCCGTTTTTCATTCTTCATCCATGTACAGCTTTTCGAAAGATACGCCTTTCATGTCTGATTTTTATTTACGTTTATAAATGCACACTGAACCACCTCGAATCGAGGCATACGTTCAGATCTTAGAGAGACGCTATAGTGTCGATGAATGATTCAGTAAGGCTTTTGTTTATCCCATTTAGTGTCACCTGAAATGACCAGATGTCATCAGATAATTAAAGTTTTCATCTAAGTCTGGAAATTCCCACACCAAACCACACTTAGGATTGTATTTTGAATAATCCCTCCTTTTGTCTTTGCGGCAAGTAAATTGGGGATGCATTGCAAAAGTCTGCCTTCGTAAAGTCATTGTATGTGGGCGGACACTTACGAGCCCTCTCTCTTATTAATCAGCAGCCGAATTTTCCCCCTTACCCCGTCGACACGCCGGCGAGGAGGGCAGAGTTCATCAAGATTTTTGAAATGGATCCCCCCGTCTTGGGTATGGGAACTCTCGTATCCCACGATCCCGTAAGTCATCCTTCTTAAATTATTACGCAGTGAGGCCACAAACTGCTTAGTGTTCAAGTATGCCTTCATATCTGCTCCCTATGTACAGGTTTCTACCGCATCTTTGGAAATAATGTGTTGATTTAATTGACAAACATACTTACTACAGTCTTTTTCCCTAGAAAATGCTAAGTTTATACTTTCTAAGGCATAAATACGTTGCAAGCCGCATTGTTATTAATGTAAAGAACAAAATGATGGATATAATCTTGCTTTTGGGTAGCAAAAGGTCAAGGGAACCTAAGGCCCACGCTCAGTTTAGAAGAGCGATTTCCAGACAGTTTGGGTAGGAATTGCTTTTGCACTGTACGTACCACTACATTTATTTTGTTGCGCATTCATTTCAGTACGGAATCGATCTGAAATTGGAGCACTTCCATTGCTACAACGAGGCGAAAACTTTGGCTGGTCACTTTTATTGGGATACGGATCCAGAAAAGGCACACTATCGCTTATACTTGACAGTGGCCAAGAGTTTGCTACGCATTGACCCCAAGGAAAAGGCGTAATCGCTGAACTAATCACACCTTACTCCAGGAATCGTTGGAACATTTTTGGGATAATGTTTGCTTTGAACCCATGCTTCTCAACCCTAGCGCTTTCATGTAGTCAGTTGATTGATGCGAATTTGATTGCAAGACGTGGAGGCAAAATCAGTTTGAATGGAATTGGTCAAGTCATTAAAGTTAAAATGATCAAAATTGACTGTCTGGGGGAGAGGGGCAGGAGAAAGGTGACGCGCGACGGTTGTGTGAACTTGAAAGCTGCCAGTACGTCTCAAGTTGAAGAGGACTGTTGTCCGCGAACGGGAAATGGTGCATCGTTGACACTTTTGGAGATGCCTTGTAGCACTTTTTAAAGATTTTGGTACAATTCAACAGCCTAGACCTTTCAGATTCATAACGAATTTGTATCAATAAAACTGGTACGTTACAAAAAGTTATCATGCATATGCCTAGAGCCTGTATTCATGCTGATGCCCGGTTTTTCACAAATATATATGTCTGTGCGGAAGTGAAAGTGGTCAACGCTAGTTTATTAATCTTGCTAGTCTATGAAGAAGCATGGTGGGGTAGTTTGATGCTCCGCTTTGGAGCACTTGACTGTGTAGGCTTTTCAGTATCCTCCGGATTTTTCTCGGGTACCCTCGACTGGCTCTGAGTGCAGTAATCTCTTGATTATTCTCGAGGTTAGGTTCCAGAACCCACTGCGTGGTCGCAGCAATTGTGCATGATCGGTTTGAGTCACCCAGAGGATGCTTTGTTCTGGAATTTGATTTCTGAATATGATTCAGATCATGCTCATGCAAGAGGTAATGGGTCATGACATTGATCTTAGAAGTTAGCAGGAGTTTCGCGAATCCCAAAAAGGGAATGCAGGGGAGTATTACTGTAAACAGATGCCAGTTGTAATGGTTTTAGTCCTCAGGAGGTGATCATTTCTCTCTGCGGTATTGTAGGTAGAGTTTGTTTGATTTACAAATTTATTCTGGGAGTAAAGTAGCTCCTTAGAAATGCTAGGGGGAAGTTAACCACTGGCATGTTACTGGGGTTGCCTGTGGCACCGTAAATACCATCTTTATTTCCGAGTTCCGAAATTTTCCATTAACTCTCATTTCTCGGCCACTCTATAAGGTTTTACAGCGCCCCAGGTGAGTCCTATGATTGGTCAATAGCATTGGTTGGTAGGTAAGTGTGCTAGTATCTGCAGTGAGGCCTAATCCATTCAAAATACAATGAATAAGGGGATGGGAACAACCCAGAAATCAGCGTATCAACTGGCGGATGCGTATATCAGGGTGTGGTGGTACACACCTTGTCGGCATTAAGGACTTCATCTTTCCGAGGTATTGTTACTTGACTATCCCTGATATTTATAGCGTTCGTACTCCCAAATGGCCGTCAGTGCATAACACATGCCTGTTCGTTTAACATTCGAGTACAAAAGATGCCTCTCACTACGAATGATTTGGCAGCCAAATTGCTTCAGAGTAATGAAGAACGTAGTGGTGGTCTTTCAAGTCCGCTGTTTGTCATCAGTTGCCGCATGACGGAGGGCGCTCACTCGCTTAGCCTCCAAGACTGCCTCGGTGGACGTAGATGTAAAGGATTTGCCCCATCACACATGCTACACATTATGTAGCAATGGCGGAGCTAGAGGCTCTTCCTAAATATGATTTACTTGTCTATGCGCACACGCGCACGCACGAGGACCGGTGGGGTAGGAGTGAGCCTTTACTGGGACCCAACATTCTATTTAAACCGTTTCCAGGCAGTACTATTCTACAACCGCATGTCGCGCCTTCTGCAAATACTGAACAAGGCATTCTGTGAGAAGTGACTGAAGAAGTGGAAACAAGCTATTCTCCATTTGATAAACAGGCAACCCACAATTGTACGCATTAGACCCGACTCACTTTCTATAAATTAGGGGATAAAATAAAGGTAATGTAGCACCGTTAGAACGACGCACATATGTGTCCCGTAACGGCACAAAACGGTGGGGCTTTTAGAGTCCGTACAAGGTACAATGAATTATTTGGAAGGATTATGCCGAAAATCTGGAGGATATTTCGGTCTCCTGCAGGAAGACCATGCCTGTGTAACAATTTGAATGATTGTAACTCTTCGTTTTTTGCGGACGATTAAGGCTCCGCCCTTATACTTCCACCTGGCGGCATGGCCTATGGGCCGTACCAGTAGACGCTCAGCTCTCCTGTACTTTGGCAATACATATTCTGCCCTTGTAAACTAGGAAAGACTGGAGGGTTAACATTGGTCGCAACGGAAAGCAAACACGATCCTAAAAGACAGTTGCTCCGATTGCTTTTACTGAATTCTAAGCCTTAACGTGATGGGAGAAGGGGATGGGCCACGGATGGAAGAATATGTGACGATTCCTAAAATGGTTGAAGGTGACACCTACCTTCGGCAAATGCCCCCACCTTGTGTTCCGCAAGAATTTTAGTAACAACTGAAACCATACCAGCTGTGATCCATCTGGAAAAGTTGGTTATTAAACCATCCACGGTACCTACATGCCGATGCTAATTAGGCGAAAATGCAATACCTCCTCCACCCCTCTACTAGCTGGATGGAACTTGCAATTGGTTGGGCAGCACTGAAGTGATGATCAAGTGGTAAGAAGGAACAAATGCGGAACCCTAACTCCATGGAATTATGTTAAGCTTTTGTCATTTGTTATATGACTGTTTTAAGCCTGTGTTCCTATGACTAGCGATAAAAACCCGTGATGGCTAGCACAATTCTTTATCCCCAAGTCCAATTCTCATACGAAATGCAACTTCGGCTACCGTAGAATTGCCAAGAGGGGTCAGTGATTCTGTGGTCAAATATTTTATCAGATACGTGGCTATTCGATGGTTGACGCTGCTGGTTCGTGAGTGTTTTTTCCTATAGTCCCAACTACTTTGTAATGGCAAAAACACGAGGCTGCTTAAGGGGAGTGTCAGAGACGACACTCAAGAGAGTGTGGCTACGTAATACTTAAATTATTAGCTTAACTCTTCGTTATGGTGTCGCCGATAATCAAGGCTCCATCCTTGTACTTTTGCTAAGCTGCATAGACTCCAGGCTATGCCAGAATTTCCTAGGTCCTCCTGCACATCGACAATATATGCTCTGACAGAGTACTATGACTCCTATCGTTTTTAAAAAGGGTCTGTGGGCCTGCATTTGTGCCTCCCTAGACCTTTTTTGCTTAATAATATCTTTGTTTCTTCATCGCTATAAATTACCATGAATTCAGATGAGGTCTAGTGGCTATAATAAAATGAAAATTTTCATCTTGTGTTTGAGAAATGTATAATATTTATTAGACCATAGTGACCAATTTTATGATTTACTCAGCTTTTAAGAATGACACCCAAATCAGTTAGTAACAACTTGCAAAATGACCTCAAACCTAACAAAAACTTGCTCGTTAACTTTTTATTCGCCTATTTATTTCCTCCTTACTGGTTACTGGGAAAAATTCGTAAACCGAGTTGCAGCGAAAATGGAACTTGCCTTACTAAAATGGCGTATGGTACTTTTTGAACATTTTATACCTTATTTGTTACGATTTTCCATAGGTATTCTAGCCTCGGTGTTTAGGGGAACTATCGCATATCACTCCGACCTTCATCCTCGTACGAAATAAGCGCTCCTCCCAAGTTGGTACATGATCATACGTTGGTGGGTCGACTTATATTCTAAGTAGGTTGTGCGGGCCTAATAATGACACACTTTATCACAATTTATTTTCTTGTCTGGATGCCTTCGTTATAAATAATAAAGTAGTTCTACCAACCTTTCCGAGACATTCCATTGGTTGATTTTTTCCCACCTTAATCACTCCACAAATTTATGCGGAAAGGGATAAGGTACGAGGTCATTATGTTGTCGTTACTTTGGATAATTTTTTAAAAGCATATCTACTATGATTTTGCTTGCAACATGAAGGTACTCAAAACCCGAACAGCTTTTTTCCAAATGACTGGTGATTTCACAGCTGTTCCCTTTTCCCGCACTTAAGCCTTGCATAATACCTTTTGTTTTCAAAATACACCTTAAATCGGCAGATGTCAACATCTGCGAACTTCAAAAAGTCGCCAAATCCAAACTACCGTCAAGGTGGGCAACCGAGGTATATCCCCTCCATCGAAAACCATCATCCGCAAAAGCTGCCATTGCAATCCTCAACCTCCTTTCTTCGTCACCCTGACGATGTTCCACAGCCACTTCAACAGCCATCGTCGGGAAGTCAGTGGCTGTCTCCCCCCACTTCTTCTGCTCTCCTCTCCTACCAGCATCAGACTGGCTCCTCAACGATTTTTCACCATCCCCACTCACATCCTACCTTTCAGCTTCATCCAGAATGTTATAATCAGATGCCTTCACCCATGAGCTTATCGCATGCACCAGCAACTGCCTACCTGTACAATTACGCGCCGGTGGATTCTGCCGCTCGTTTTTACGTCAATGGAAGCTTAACTCAAGCTATTGAAGGCTGGCCGACCGGTAAGATTACCTCTTGAAGTCACCATATAATTTTTATTGGAAGATATCAGTGCGTGGAACTTTTCTAGAGGTAGGGAAAAACATTAACATACTTACCTGTTCTCCTAAATGACTGGCTTAGTAGTGGATTAAACAGTTGTGTAATAATATGCTTCTGATGCAGTCAGGATAAAGTTTCACTCATTTGCTTTCAGCTTATCAACCTCCGAGGACTCCGCAACCTTGTCCTCATCCAGGCTACTCTTACCACCCTCACGAAATGGCTATGGCCCCCACCGATTCTTCCGTGTTACAGCGTCCGTCGGATTTGGACTTCGTGAACGCCCACAAGGGTTCCCTACCTCCTCATTCAGTAACTGCACAGGCCTCTCCGGCAAAAGCTAAGCTCCTCTTTCCCATCAAACCCCCAGCTATTGTGCCCACTGGTTCCCCGCCACCGTTGCCCCCCAGGACGACTCGTCAACCGCAAAGTCAGGCACAAGCGCAGCAACAGCGTCCTCCCGCACTGCCACCTTCCAGCACTGGTCAACGCGGCAAACAAATTGACCCCTGGAGTAACTGGGGCGGTTCAACTGGTGTTACTTCTATCTCCACTAGTGGTGGTTTGCCACAGTCCATCCCTTTTCTCTCTACACCTAGTTCTGGGAAAGTTGTAAAGTTCGCGACGCCTTCTGGGTAGGTGCTTGCCCCTACATACGGAGATATCAACCTTACTGGGTCGTGATCTAAGGAAATTAGCCTTCTCTCACATTAAATGCTTCGTTTCTGCTTTAGTGTGGCTTGTTTTGCACCCACGGAGCAGTTTGGATGTCTACTTCAAAAACAAAGTAATCAATAGCGTCCGTAAAAAGATGTCTACTTTGTTGAATTTGTGCTGAATCATAATCCTTTTTAATCGCATGAACAGATTTTACACTTAAATTTCTAACCTAAGAGGGAGATTTCTCGAGTTTACTTTGGTGTTTAAGAGTAAATTTTTTCTCTCTAAAGTGTTCATCGACCTTCTACACTACTACCAAGCACCGACGATTCCCCAGGTGGACACTGTCTCAAGCCACGTTCATCGAATCCCTCAAAAGAGACAACACCAATCGAAATGGGTCACAGGAAAACCAAGTCCCCCTCTCCATGTCCGCTGAGTGGGCACCACACTAAAGCGAGCACTCCCAATCGTCAGAGACAACTTCTGCCCACCGAACGTCAGGCCTCACCCAGCAATGAGATTTTCAGACAAAATATGCATAAGGCAAGTCGTCTTGTGTTGTGCACATCAAACTGGCTGTAATAAGTGACCGATCCATGCTATACTTTTGCCCACTTGACCTGTCCAATCGTTACTATCATCAAGGCAAATCGTTACGAGGGCTTTCCACAAATAAGAATTACTCTCCGATACTTATTTACCACATCTCGATAGTTCTTTGATGCATTCACCATCCTTGGTAGTTTTTCTTGCATAAATGTCAGACGTCTCTTCCTGCCGACCTTGACGTTTGTTTTGTCTCGAGTTATTTGCCATCACATTCGTAGTCTACTCCATTTTTTGTGCCTACATGGATAATAAAATATTACTTTAAAATAGGTTTCTCCTCTATTGCTCTAAATTTAAAAAACAATTCCTCCAAGAACCAAATTTTCTTGCTACATGAAGAGGAAGGTATCCTGTCTGCGCTTTCCGTATGAGACGATAGGGTACTTGTAATCCACTGTTTAAAATGGTTGATCAAGAACTTATAGACACACATTCGTCCAGGCCCGTCCCTCACATGACTTTGAATTACTTCTGATTCTTTCTGCAGAGTTAAATGAATACACCACTACATGTCTACAGTTCTGATTCCTGACTTCTATAGGGTTAGTCAAAATTTGGTAATTAGTTCCATTTTGTGTAGCTAAAATCCGTCCCTTTTTTTGCTTTAACGCCCATTTACAGGAGGTTTTACTCCAATGTACACTAAGTACTAAGTAGCTTTTGGTTACTTGACATCTTTTCTTATTTTGTACATTCAGCTAAGCACAGCAGTCGCTGCCTCTACAACCTCAGCAGCAACAGCGGCAGAACCCCGACTCGTTTGCCACCTTTCTGTTGCCAGCGATCAGGAGAGTGGCCCAGCCAAAGCCTCAGATACAGGCCTCTCCAACTCCCTCTCCTCCCCCTCCTCTTGCACCTCGTCCTCTGTCTCAGTGTCGGGGTCCTCGTTGGATTCTTCCTCCACCCATGACAGCGACGAGCCCTGTGGCAGCTCCTCCCATTCCTCTTCCAGCTTTTGCTCTGACTGCGCTCACAGTGGCATTAACACCAACGTTGTCAAGGGCGATGCCGCCACCACCAATGCAGCGGGAGCGGAAAAGGGGTTGGAGACGGCAGGAGGTGCAGAGTACGTGCCCTTCGTGAAGGCAGTGAATCCAGCCGTATACCGGCGATTCATAGAGCAGAAGTATTTCTCCAACGTCGGCCGAGTGCACAAGGAGCGCGAGGAGAGACAGGCCCGTCTGGAGGCTGAGATGGCTCTCATGGGACTCAGTGAGGCCTCGCGCGCTCACATGCGGAAGATGCTGCAGGCCAAGGAGTCCAACTACATGCGTATGCAACGCGCTCGTATGGATGAAAGCATGTTCATTCGCATCAAGCGCCTCGGTAGGCCGTATTTCCTTCATTATTTCCCCTACCTCACTGACGTACGCTTACCAGAGATGTGTGTGGTCGTACCGGAATGACGATCGCTTTTCTAAGGAATGCTGGATGTGCATTTCGTGCGACAGCTTTGATATTTAGGTGGTGAATAGGTACTTAGCTGTACATTCCGATGGTTTTAAGATCCCATTCCACTGCAGAAAGCAGGGTATGATATATGAAAATAATTTGTGGCAATCTTAAGGCTTTTGCTAGATTCGGCCAACTGTTGATCGCATCTTCTGACACGTCAAAAGTAAGGTCATGGGACACCTTATTAATTAACGAAGACAAATAACAACCTCACAAGGTCAGAAATGTCAGAATTCCTGGAAGTGGGTTTCCGTCCAAGTGAACTTAAATTTCCAAATAAGCTAGCAAGTCCTAAAAAGGAAAAATAGTTCTAAATATTTTATCCCACTAAGGAATGCAATTAATTTGATGTGTGGATCCACTGGGAAAGGGCAAGAAAAAGAACTGTGGAGCTATCCCGGTACATCAATCCTTTTTTTCTACTCTCCTCACCACCGCTTCTTAATTTACGTCGGAGAGAGCGTGTTGTCCAATTCGCCGAGTGTTCAAACTGCCATTTCGTGCTTTCCAGTCTCGACTTGTAGTAGTGGTAGGCATAGATTAATTTAGTTATCAGAACAATTGTAAAAAGTGAATGGATAGAAGTAAGTGAGAGCCTCTTCAAGTATAACCGTTCCCGCCCCCCTTCTCAGTATCTTCATTATTCATTCACATGTGGAAGCAAGTGAGTGCGACGACAACGACGACAATGGATTCATTGTGTAAGCTGAAGTGAGAGTATGTGCGTGGTCCCGTTGCAGGTGTTGGAGCCTTTGGATGGGTGTGGTTGGTACGCAAGAAGGAGAATCGGCAGTTGTATGCGATGAAGATTTTGAAGAAGCGCGACGTGGTGCGTCGACGCCAACTGGCCCATGTGCAGGCGGAACGTGACATCCTGGCTGAGGCAGACAGCGACTGGGTGGTGAAACTCTTTTTCTCCTTCCAGGACTCCCATGCCCTCTACCTTGTCATGGAGTACATCCCTGGTAAGTTCACCCCCACCCTCTTCGCCTCCCTCAAGTAAGACAACAATTTTTCTTGCTGTTTTTTTCCGAAGTTTCACTGACTCATATTCGATGCTTCAAATGAAGGCAAAAGCTTAGTTCCATGGTAATACTGAAACACTATTTGTCTCCGAATCGTCAAAAGACTAATTATTTGAGCCACCGCCACCCGTGGTTGTTGCTTGATTTGACTTCTATAATAATTATACGCGCTTTCGGTAACCTTTCCACTTATTGCCCACCACATCCTTAATGCCAAAAATCAACGAGTCCTCGGGATTGTGATCGGGCTTGTGAGTTGCTGCCTTAACAATACCCCAAGTATTTCCGTTCGAGAGATTCAAATGTGGCAATATCAAGGGTATTTGTAAAACCGAAAGCGTGAGGCCATAAAATCTTGCGTATGGAGGGAAACACAAGCCCTCTTTCTGGGAAACTCTTGGAATCTAGGGCTTGGCAACGGTCCTCGATGTCCAAATTTACACCGCCGCGCTAGTTCCAGACCCCTGTGGAACAGTTGGAGAGAGGCATGATGTAGCCTTCATCAATTTTTATTGAGGCGTCGGTCTCAGTAGACGAAAGTGGTATTTTGCTAACTGTGTTTTTCATCAAGGCTACTGCTTTTCTCCTAGTTAGAAAGATAAACTTTACGCCGTGATCAGTACGATTCCCCGATTTTGAACGACTCATCTAGAGCTTTTAAGGGTCCTGTCACCTCACAATTACTGTTTGGTGGCTAGGGCAATTGTCAAAAATGAATAATGTGGTAAAATTCCAGTACACTTTTGGTTGTATGTTTTCTTCCACAGTTGTCCCCCTCATCCGGCTTACATTGTAAACGCACGCGACTGAACTTACAGTGGTGAAGATTCTAGGTTTGGTTCTATTTTTACTAATTCAAAGTTGATCTGACGTTGAGCTGCGACCACCTTTTATACCTCTATATCCAAATTGAGGCACAGTGTAATATCTAGTTTGAGGGATGGCAAAAAGTCACTGAAGTCATGGCATGGGCATACCTGTACAGTGATAACATTTGGGTTAGTTGAAGCCCTACGAGACGACCACACACAGCTGCCTATTGAACAGTGCCTTTGTGTGGAAAAAAGAAACAAATCGCACGAATTCCAAAGCCCACTGAAGGAATGCCTCCGCACTAGTCCCCACACGTACACACATACACACACACACACACGCACCGCTGGAGTGTACACACCGAGGTCGGAAATACCTGTACTTTCTTCACACCAGCAAGCACATTCCAACTTGCTCTCACACTCTCTCACTCCCTCGCCTTCCATCTCCTGCTGGCCTGGTGATAGCATGATGACTGTGTACAGTTGTTGCACACGTTAAATGCAGCACACACACGCAACTCTGATTGGTGAACTTGGTGCGCACGTGCCTGCTTGTGCCACGTTCCTCCAGCACTCCCTCGGTTGGCATTCCTCGTAACCGCCCTCCTGCAGGAAGGCAAGTGGGCATACAGTGTGGCCATCCACACAGTGTGTGTGTGTGAGGATTTATCGACCACTCGGGTCTGTTGTGACGTCGTGGAGGCAGACGATGGAGCATTGTTCCATGTCGTCGTATATTGCCTTATTTCTGATAAGTAATATGCTTATTGATATTAAACCTGGCTCATAGGAGGAGGTCTGCTCTTGTTTGATTGAATCAGCAAAGGGAAAGTTCTAGGGCTGGTTTGACGGGTGCTTTGACGTCGGCGTGTTAGGTCATTTCCGGGTCAAGGGTGGTGCACTTTAAGGCAATTCTTTAAAATGTACCTGCTTTTTAAAGAAGATGTTCTAGTGGTATCACAGATCATCCTTATCTTCCTTAAACCAGTGAACCACTTTTCGCAAGATAGTGTTGTTGGATGCAGATTATGATGGTAGTTAGAGCCATAACTATTTTTAAAATCTCTACCAACTTTTGTAATTCATTTTAAACAAGTAAATAGAGAAGTGAGACCTCTCTTCAGTAGACCCTGTTTTATAATGAATTCTTTTACAAACTTTGGAATAAGGAACGTAGACGTAAATGTGTTATACAATGAACCGGATTGGGCAAAGTTACCGACTCTAACGCTTTTTTGTTAATCTTGGTGTATGAATGTGAAGAACAACTGCGTTAAAACCTGATTACCTGACCAACCTTAAGAGAAGAAATTACAAATTTATAAAGGTTCTTCAAATAACAGGACCCGAGGCGGTTAATTCGGTGTTGCTTTTCATAGGTCAGTCCGATAAACAGCAACCGAATCAGTACCGAAAGAGACTGTACCGAAAGCGTTTGCGTTATTTCGTTTGTCATTGTCCTGCCCATTCAAGTGTAGAACCACTTAATAGTTCTCCCTTGTTGGCCGTTGGTCCCACCTCGGACGGCATACAGGTATGCGATAGAGCGTCGGCGGCGCTATGGTGCACCTTGGCAATTTTGGAAAGATCAAAGCGTAATTAGACATCATGGAATGCGTTGAAGCGAGAAAGTGTCAGAAGAGCATCGTAACGAATTCCGAAATTGTAAAAATGCTTTTGAGATCCTTGCGTATCTGTCGAATGCAAGTCTAACTTGAATTTTACCTTCTGAAATTTCTAGTGGAAGCAAAAACCCATCATTTATGGAAAAATTTTATGAATAGGGTGTGTATTTGATAATTTTCCTCAACGTACAGCAGATTAATGAATAGGACTGTCATTTAACTACTCTAGAAAATGCCAATCATTTTGTGAATAGTCTTTCCTGAGGTTGAAAGAAGATGCAACACTAGGGCCGAATATGCAATTCCCATAGGCCATGCCGTCCAGCGGAAGTACAACGGCGGAGCTTTAGGTCCTTACAAAAGCAAAACCGATGATTAAACGAGCAAAACACTACCTAAGCTCTGATAGTTGCTTAGCGCCTTAGGTGGCGGCGCTGAATGCACCAATTAACTTGCTATAGAGGTCGTTTGAGGAGATCACTTGTCATGAGCTATCCCCACTGCCACCAATACGTGATGGAAGTATTTCCACGGAGTCGTTTTGGTCGGAATTAGCCAAAAAAAATACTCCAAATGGTGCTCCAGGTTACTATTTACTGTTTTTGGACTCTGTGCGCGAATTACAGAAGCCCGAAGCCATTCCTTCAAGTGAAGTGTTCCCACGTTTGTGCAAACGTTCGGAAATGCCTTCTTAAACTGATTAATTTACAGGGCTTCTGTTTACAAAACATAGTCGACTTTTTTGGGCATAATATTGCTAATTTTCAGGATGACTCCTGTGCTAAAAGTAGATAGCCAGTTCGTTGTTTAACCTTGGTTGATTAAAATCCAAGTATCGTGAAGCTTCGATGATTGCTTTAGAATGCTATTGCAGCAGCCGAATCAAAAAGCCTAGCTTGAATTAGCTCGTTCTCATTCCTTAAAATGGCTTTTACATGTTTCTGTTTGTAAGAAAAGTCCCGATTACCTTTCTGGGGCTATGATATAACAATTGAGAACCAGCATATTCCAGTACTGTGATTATTTCTCTTTCAGGTGGAGACATGATGTCCCTGCTGATAAAGAAAGAAGTTTTCGAAGAACCTTTGGCAAGGTTCTACACAGCTGAATTGACACTTGCACTGGAGAGTGTTCACGAATTGGGCTTCATACACCGGTAAGTAATTCTATGCACGCTTGGTGGATGAAGGATGGATAAAAATAGCGAACAAATTATTATGGGTAAATAACATTAAATTACGCGGCCAAATGGGTAATATTGTCCAGATCTGTTTTAAAATGGTTCTGTATTTTCAGAGACATCAAACCAGACAACATACTGATCAACCGTGACGGCCACATCAAACTGACAGACTTCGGCTTGTGCACAAGTTTCCGGTGGACGCATAGCAGCAAGTATTGGGATCCAGTATTCGCTATCCCTCAGCCCGGCCAGGAAAAGACTACGACCATCCCAACTACCACAGAGGCGGCAGCGACGGCAGGGACAACAGGGCTAGCGGAGGGCGACACGGAGGGGGACGAAGGCGAGGTGGGGGATCAGGTGTGGCCCATGCATGACCAGACTCTCGAGCGACGCATTCGCAGTTCTTCCAACCGACGCTGTGCCAAGTCCCTCGTCGGCACACCCAACTATATTGCACCAGAGATCCTGCGTCGACAAGGTGTGCGGACGTTCATCTTTAGTCTGTCCTGGGTTTTTTTAAGTCCTAGAAGTTGAGGGTAGTCGTAACTGAAGTAGTACTAACGACAGGTTTCATTAAATCTTTATGTAATTTTATCACATGCTTTTATGATAATGGTTAGAAACCTCCTAAAATACCTAGCATAAAAAGTTTCTCGATTAGGTTAATGCTATTGAATGCAAGTGTTCTTTGACTCAGATGTTTGTTCCTATTTTAGTCCATCTTCAAGTTTCTGCGCATTAATAATTTAGTCATTGTCTGCGATCCTTTTCGACTTGAAAAAGCTGACGACGACACAGAAGCATCTGAAATGTCATCACTTGAACTAATCCATAATCGCTAGCTCGAATTTCCCTTACACTGCATTATGCACATTTTTAAGGCGTGAATTAGCTTCTTAAGTAGCGCAGCACTTACTAATGTACAATTATATATGCATAACAGAATTGAAGCCGAACACGCAGACCAATCTTCCGTAAGAACATCAATAATTAGAAGTTAATTTGTCATTCATTAACTAAAACAAACTGCCCAGTAGTTGAAGGTCACTGGGGTGGCACTCAGCTTCCTTTCCCATTTCAAAACAAGCTCATGAATAACTCTTTAAATCGCACGAATAGCAACACCACTTTGACGCGTGGGCATCATTGGAGCGGTTTTCTCGTAGCCCCACCTTTATGAATTTGCCAAAACATTCAATTAGGTTCCTTATTTTCAGTTCATAATATCAAATCCAGCCTATGGAGAGCGGCAACCAGGTGGATGGTAGCACCATAAACATGGGTAATTTACCGATTTGTTTTGGGAGGGGG